TAAAGATTAGGCGTGAATTGGTAGAATGTGTTGAACACTTCACTTATTTAGGGTGCCTGCATTTAGGTGCCTGAGTTCTATCTTCCGTGTGAAGTGGTATAATAGGGTGAGAAATATTGTCGTAAGGTGTCGACCGAGTGCTAGGTAAGTAAGGGATATCAATCGATGAGGTTGTAAAGTTACATCGACTCAGATGATTAGGACATGTGTTACGCACACCCAACCATAGCCTTTCTCGACAGCCAATATTAGCTGACATAGGGTTAGGTAGGAAAAGACCTAGTGATGATCAAACCAAAGCATGGCTTCAACACCAGTCAATGAAATCCAAAAAAGTTAGTTTAAGCCAGCCAGCCAGCCAAGTAGAGAGGTGTAAACTTACTGATTGATCGGTGTACTCGGAATGGTTAAAGCCAATGAAAGCAGGAGACAAGTGGTGATATCGCTAAAGATCGTCCTCAATGGTGGCGCAGATGCTAGCACTACTTGTGACTTATAATAACCAGTAAAACTACGCTTCTCTTCGACATTACTATTCCTTTTGCTTCATATCTCTGTTTACTGCCCCTATTTTGCATCTCTTTTTATTTTCTTCTCTTGCTTTGTGTGCTACAAGGAGGGAGTGTGACGACTCGAACTGCTTCACATCTGTGCAAAATAGTTCTGGGTTGATACCAGTCAGTCAGTCAAATTAACTGATAGGTTCTACGTATTTCTTCATAAACAAACAGGAGAATAATGGTCTGCTAGTAGGAAACAGGAATATCTCTGTTCAACAAATATATCGTACCAGCTTATTCAGACTTGTTTATCTCTATACAGGACCCAATGATTCATATCGGAACAAGATTTAGTCAAAGGATTGTGAATAATAAAAAAGGAGGAAGTTTAGAGTGAGTATATAAAGGGTGTTAACTGAATAAAAAAAGAAACTAATCTTTCAATGCATAAAATAAGTTCAAGTGCTTTCTAAATGTTTGCGAAATGTGTTGAAAACAATAAAATAGAAATTAGAAAGACAGGATAGACTTAAAAATTAAAATGAAATGAATGAAAATTATTAGAGCGGAAGTTATAAAAAAAAGAAAGAAAAGGGACACAGAGTTTACGGTTGTTATTTATGTATCCATTTAGCTATAGGTAAGTAGTAGAAACGCAGATCTCTGGGATAGTTTGTATTTTCACTGTAGATATTAAGAACATGGATTCTATAGGGCTCTGGATAGTCTATTTTCCCTGGTATTTCCATATTAGTTTGTTTATTAGATATATCATACAGCGAAACAGCATTACTGTTTACTGGTTGACAATGTTTCGAACAAAATTTATTACTGTTCATAATCATGCCATCAGTTATAATCACACTACTTTGAAACTTAAGTTTTATGGTTTTCCTTGTTCTCTCCTATTCGTCGTCGTTGGGATAGTAGAATTTTCCAGATATCCATTTGGACAGGTGTTGAATCATTCCTATTACATGTATTTGCAGTTGATTCGATAAACAAAGTTTCTGTTATCAATTTCTCCCTCCACCCTGCTGTTACATTAGATTTTAAAACTGTCATCTTATACTATCCTATTATATGACTGGTTGTATGTAATTGCATGTGGTGTTATAGCTGAACTATTCTCTAGATTTCTTATCTTATTCGGGTCAACCAATCTAGATTTTGCTGGGTTTTTACTCTTGGCTAGTCTGATTGCCCCAGTTCTACTACTCAGACCTATGTATTTGACCTGACAATCATTCCAGCAGCGTATTAGATAAACTAAATTGTTTTGTTTTAAAGGTTCCACAGGACTTACCCTTTAACCGACGAAGCTTGTTTCTAACCGAGTTTGTGGTTGGTTTGAATGCCAGCCACTTTTATTCCCACCTTGTTAAGAATTCTGCGTAAGGTTTTCGAGGTTCATTCCTTGGATGGAATTTCTACTGATGATTTAGATTCCTTACACTCAGTTACACATAGCCATACAATAGGACAAGTGGGATAGGATGACAGTTTTAAAATCTAATGTCATAGGGTGAATGAAGGGAGAGATTGGTAACAGAAGCTTTGTTTACCGAATCAACTGCAAATACGTATATTAGGAGTGATTCAACACCTGTATAGCCAAATTTCTAATAAATTGTTCTACCCCTAGGACAAATCAGAGAGGACAAAGGTAACTATAAAACTGAAGTTTCGAGGTCGTGTGATTATAACTGATGAAATGATTATGAACAATAAACATACATCTAATAAACAAACTAATATTGAATAACTTACTACCACAATGCTCAAGTTTTACACATGTATTCCCTGGTATTGTTCAAGCTGATAATGAACTTACCTGCGTTATTCAATGTAGTCAGCCTTACTGGAGATACACATGATGTGTAGTCATGATTTCCAACAACAACAACAACAACGTTGATTGTGTGGAATAATATGACTATTCAGAAGATATTGTTGTCAAGCGCGAAAGCTTAACAGTCAGGTTGTAGCGATTTAAACATCGGATACATGATTTCGCTCGTTTTAGGCGGACTTCATTAACCAGGTACTTCGATGAGTTCAAATAACCAGAATTCCCTCATGATATTTTGTTTGCTTGCTTGCTTTGATTGCTATTTATGACATCCGGGGCGACCGTAGTATGTGTGATATTCTAGGTAAAATTAATTTCTTTAAACTTATCATGATGCCTGTTTGTGTAGGGAATCTCGATAGGTTGACTAACTGACTGACTGACTGACTCCATATGTGTCCTTTCAAACCTGAACTGACTAACCGACTCGACTTCATCAGTTGATAAAATAGCTCAAAGAATACCAATCATCTACCAACTTGGTTTTATAAGCTACAAATGTGAGCGTTTGTTTACCCAAAGGCTCTTTTTGCACAAGTCGTGTGATCACTGCAGAACAATAGATAATTTCATTAATGTACCACACCCAAACTGTTACTTTTCGTATTATTACTAAAACTTTTGTATTATTTATTTATTTATTTATTAAGGCGTTGACATATTGATGAATAGGGATTTTTGTTGTTTTGTTACTTCCTATGAATACCATGTTGATTTGGGTGCTTTTTATATTTAGTTAAAAAAAAACCTAAATGAAAAATAAACAGTACTCCCAGATTGTTTTCCAATGGTTCTCTAATTGTTGTCAGCTCATTATGAAACCCTGAAAACAAAAAGAAAACAAGACATTCAGCAAAAAACCTATTTTTGGCTATGCCCACTTTTGTTTAAGTTGGATCCTAAGCTGGTATCGCTTACAGAACCAGTGAAAATTGCCAAAGAAATACTTAACACAGCTTTCTTTCGTCGTGATTTTAGACTCCTCATCAGCGCATACCCATCCTCTACACCTGAGTCCACGATTGCCCGAAATCTCTCATCTCTTCCTCACACGATCTCCTCCATATCACCCTGGCGCGGACGACTCACTCGTCGCTTCTCACTCGGATTCCATTCGAGAGATGGCCTGCCTTGAGCTCTATATCATTTAACGGCCTCCTCAACATGTGCCCGATCAATGATTCATCATTTTCTCTTACGTATTTGTTGACCTATCGGCTCTTAGTTGGTTTTTTCCCAGCCAGAGTTTCTTGTTGCTGTGCAAGTTTGTGACCCATGTGAAAGAACTGACTGACTTCACATTTATGTTGAAAATCTGAATCTTGTTCTTTATGCAGGCTGAGTGAAAATGACCGATGAAAGCGTGTGTTGCCTTCCCGATTCTGACTGCGTTCATCCGTTCCGCCCGGCTGTGGTTGAATCCATGCTTCCTAGCCGGATAAGTGAAGGAAGTGACTTCTATCAAATCTCTCCGATTGACGGTGATTGGTGCTGGTTGTCTTTGCTGTTGGTTGGTTGGTTGGATATCTTCATCACCTCCTTCTTCTCTGTGCTCATCTAAAGTCCTGTCTTCGCTGGTTACTTCTTTTGCCAAATCACTGGTTTTCGCCTGCCTAAAAGTCTCCCACGCGTGAAATCCAGATCCTCTAGAGTCTTCTTATCAGTTCACTGTGTTCTTGTCTTTTAAGCTCCACAGCAGACTGCCGGGTGGTACGGTCCCCCACAATTAAGGATAACATCAGTGATAGTTGGAAGTTTTGTCTTACTCTTTTCTTTACTTCAAAGAATTCAGTGAGATTTCCTTTGTAGATCACTGGACACGTAGCATTGTCATATAGCTGTTGAATGAGGTTGACAAAAACTTGAGGTACTCCGTAGTGTTGAAATAGTCTCAAAATTACTTCCCAGTCTACACAGTCATCCCCTGAAATGTGTACATTGCTAATTGCTGACTAATTTTCAAATCGTGAATGCGACTTATAGTGTCAATAGTTCGCCCATATAGCTAGCTAGCCAGAAACCACGTGGTTTAAACTGGTTCGGCCCTTCGAGCTCAGTAAAACCGGGTACATGCCTCATGAACTCAGTCTCAAATGAGTGAAACGACCCTCCATTGTTTAGATGAATTCAATCTAGCTGGCTTACAATTACTACTAGTTGGTGTGAGAGGTATTCAACCACTTATCCCAGCCAATCAGTAGTATATAATTGTATGCAAAGGATTTCGTTTCACAAGTAACTAGGTAAGTAACTGAGTAATGAGTAGTTTGACATGGTATCATGACCCCAAATATATATATGAATGCCCTTTAAAGCAGGACATCTAAATCCTCAGTATTCTTTACATTAATTGGTTGGCTATCGCTAGCCGTGGGACCTTAGATGCTCTCACAATTAGTCCTATTCGACAACTGTCAGTTGGATATTTCGTATATCCTTAATGTAAGTGATAGTTTCCCCCTAAACTAAGACTCGAAACCAACTCCCATTATTTCAGACGTTTCAAAGTAACGCCCAGCTCCACTGTGAAGACCTCCTACTAACAGTATATCTGAGTACAGTAAGCACAACATCACATCCCAAATGATATATTATTATTCCCAACTATTAATAATATTATTTATTATCTTCTCTTCTTTGTATTAAAGCTGTTGCAAAATTCACTCGACCTATGGGGGATCGATATTTTTGAAATTGACCAGCTAACAACACATCCTCTCACTTGTATATTTTTCAATATTGTACAGGTAAGCAGTAGTAGTAAGTAATAAGTAGTATATAGTGTGGTTTTTTTCGAAACTGTGACATTTTGCAGTTACGTATTTCTGTTTTATGCATACTAATGAGTATTTAATTTGCATACGTATGTAAATAAACAGTGATGCAGCCATCTGATTCATAATTAAGTATCTATCCTTTTTCTAAAGACTGTTATGATAATGGTACCAGGTCTGGTGATGACAATGTCTTGTTTTCTTATCTGTCTATCCTTGTTCAGTGAAAAAGTACAAACTTTAGTCACAATACTACTGAAAAGTTGAAGACTAGTCAGTAGTAATGTTAACTTCTACTGTGAAGCGTTAGTCAGAAGTTGTCTTTGACCATAGGTGTCTACTTTCTGTTGGGCGGTACACGATAGCCATTAATATTGATTTAAAGAGTAGAGTATTGAAGAAGAAAAGAAGAAGGAGAGAAAACCCATGATTTCGGTTTTCGCTTTACATCGGTTCAGATATCCAGGAAATGTAGTGAACTGTCAGCCTCCTCGATAAACAATACTAGCTGAAAAGTGTGACAGACGGTCAAATCAAAACTCATAGTATCAATCCCGGAAGTGTGTAACCATAAGTCTGAGGAATTCTGGACTGTCTAGCTGAAGTGCCTGAAATGCTAAGAACCAATATCTTGAGACTACTGGTGATATACCTTAAAACAATAATAATAATAATAATAATTTGCTTTATTCCAAAACAGCACTTGTGATACAAAATGGAATTCTCAGAATTTTGCTACATACAGTATTGCATCCAGTTAGTACATTAACAATAAATAAAATTCTACATAGATTAAGGGTAATCTCAATTAGTTTTGACAACAATATATTAGTATGTCGGTAGCAGAGCCAAAATTGAACAGTGTTTGAAAAAAAAAGCGAAAAGGAAAAGAAAGAAAGGAAGAAAAACGTTGTACCTATAAAAGATATGAATTGAAAAGTCGAGATCCAGTTGTTCTATTGACCATTTAATAAGTTATAGGTATCACGCCTAATGCTTTCTTTATCGCACAGAACACCAGCTAAGTAGGGTATAGTTGAGTGTTTGTACTAGCTAGTGCGAGCATATAGTTTTCTATATAGGCTTCTGGTCCTGCCTGATCAGATAGATACAAGGGGAGAGTTGTGAATGAAGAGATGATGTGAGTGAGATAAAATAAACAGATTTAGCCCATTCTTCACATGAGTCCAACTGCCTGTCGACCAAAAATATTAACAAGCTGGTTAAGTGGCACATTGCTTACCCTCCTAACGACCTTTAACATCCTGCGTAATAAGGCATAGTCTCTGTCTCAATGGCAAACAAGCATCAACACCAATTGATTCAACATTGCGGTGCACCTTTTCACCATAAAAAACACAACGAGTCAACCTACAGACTTTTATAAACTCATAATTAGTAATGATATCGGTTATTGAAGTGGTGTTATATATATATATATATATATATATATATTCATTAGCATCTCATGACCACAGAGTCCAAAGAACAACTGCTTAAGGCCGGTCTCATACAACCTGCTTTTTGAGTTGTTTTCACGCAAATGGGTTCCCACTGGCTTACAGAACACTACAGTTTAGCCGGGATGTATAATTTTTCGGGTTGAACTCTTCTAACTCCGCCTCCCGCCCCCTCCATCCAATATTGGAAGAACTAGTCATCCAATAGAAACACTCCTTTTCCTCAAGTCCTCAACTTACTACAATCGAAACTGGTTTTAGACTAACCGTTATCCAAAAGACCTTTCTGATAATAGGAGGACCTGCAGGAACATGCTTTGCAGCTAGTGTACCTCATCAGGTCATTGTAACACACAAACCTGATGACTATGCCAGTGTAGTAGTTATTGGTTGGGAAATATATGCATATATAAATCGTGTTTCTTTGAACAAACAACTGTGATAACAGCTTAAGCAGAAAAAAGAGATAACTCATTGTATATATTAATAGTGGAAATTCAGAGACATAAAGAAACATTACAGAAACGCTAAGTGTATAAGGACATTAAGGAATATACTATTTACAGCAATATAACACTGAAAATATAACACTGAGCTAATCATTCTGCTATCTTTCTATCTATCTCTTGCCCGCTCATTCTGGCATATATATATTTCCTTTCTAACTAACTCATTCACCTATTTCTTTCATCAGTTCATCGATTGCCTACTTTCTAATCCATTTTAAACTGAAATCAATCAATAAACTAGAGAGGTAGATCAGAGAGAGAGAGAGAGAAATAGATAGATAGATAGAGAGAGAGATAGTGGACAATTCTCTGATTGGTCGTTTGACCTACCTGTAAATTAGAGTAGTTAATTCCTCTCATTTTGTTTTACTTTATTGTGACATGGAAATGAAAAGAAAACTAAATTATAGGTTAATATTTTTGTTTGTCTTTTCATGTATCTGGTGTTGCTGTTGTTTTTTTCTTTTTTTCTTTTTCAGCTAACCTATCTAATAGCTGGTTCTAAAAGATATTGACAGCTATTGTTTAGAATGTCTTTATTATTATTATTATTATTCAATTAAACTGAATAAATGATTGCATGACTCTTTATACTACTGATTAGTCGGAATGAGTAGTTTTGTGACTGATCATATCGAAGTGATCTAAACTTGGGATGGCTGTTCCACTCGTTTAAAGGACTGAGCTCATCAGCAGTGTGCGTGGTTCAACTCAGCTCAGATAGCTAAATCTGTTCAAACCACCAGATTTGCGACCTTATGGATACCGATGAACGGCGATCAGAATTGTTCAGTAGTGTCTGCTAGCTGGGCTGCAGAGACCTAAACTCTGGAGGATCATTTTATGCCATGAAAGCTTTAGGTTCCCACAGTCTTTGTAGTCTACCGTTATACCCAAAAGAGGATGACCGGAGTTTGGGTATTTTGAATCATTTTGACTCTAATTGAGCATACTTCTGATGAAGTTGATCTCAAATGAACGAAGAGGCCTTTGGATTATTTAGAAAACTCCTGATGGACTATCCGTAACAGTCAGAAATATTTACCAAATAGTAATTTTAATACACTGGTTATGATACCTAAGGACTTATGACAACAAGCTACATGAAAGATACGTTTCAAAGAAGACTACCTCCTCCACTGGAGCGGTTTCTACGTTTTGGTATTCACCACGCGGTAGCAGTGTCCCTATCGGAATCTTAAAAGCTGTTGGCCTCTACCTGTGTCTGAAATGCTACCTTGGGAAAACTTCTTATACCATTTTGAATGAAATGATGTCCAACAATTTTAAACTTACATCAATGCTGCCGTATACGTGCTGTCCGGTTACCAATCACTTATGAAGTATGCCCCTTGGTATCGGAAGATATGAAGGAAATAGCTGTCCTTGACACCCATGTGTTTGCATTTAGCAGCTTGACATAATGAGTAGAGTTTAGATCAGACAAAAGGAGCAAACCAACCAATGGCAATGTGGAACTGCGTCAACTGAGATGTATACTAAGTCATCAACATTCGCGTCAAGCAATGTTGGCCGATAGATATATGATTAGGCTGGAAGACTGTTAAGGGTCGTTAAATTGAAAACTTTTTCTTTCGTAGCAAAGAGACTCATAGTACTGAAGTTTCTGCAACAGTTTTGTTTACACGGTGGAGTTGCTAGCCTCGCGCCCGAGAAGGAAGTTGCTACATATATGTGTGAGTTACAAAGCAACAACTTTTTCGGGTTGCTCCGTTTAGAATCAGGAAAACGAGAAATAAAGCAATCAGAACAACAAAAATCACATCAAGAAAGGCAACGATAACAACAACAACAACAAGAACCGTAGCAGTAATACCACTGTTAAATTCAATTACCAAAAATGATATGAAACTATAGACTCAATGACTTGGATCAATAATATAGACAATCATTTATATGAATTAGTGTTCAACAATCACAAAATGGCAAACAGTTAGTTAATGGTATTAAAAGTTAATAAGATTATATCCACAGATTCAGTATTCGAAGGTAAACGAATTACAATAAATTCTACAGCTTCCTAGCCAGAAACACAAGAGAAATGCCCCCCCCCAGGAACTAAAGGAAACAATTATAATAAACCGGAAGCTGAAATCCATCCATGAAGCCTGTGACTTTTACTTCGAGCCAGTCACATTGGAATGTGTTGACGTCGGTGGCACAGCGGTAGAATGCTCGCCGACCACGTAGGTGGTTCGGCGTTCTACCCCTGGCCACTGACACACTCCTTGTTTACCTCGCTAAGCCAGTATTAAGACTGATACAGAAGGAAGGTTTGGCCTGTGCTGGGTAGCAACCCCATCCTGTAAAAAATAAACACCACTGCTATCGAAACTTCAAGTCTCTAGTCTGAAGCCCTCAGAACGTAAGGGAGTAAAAAATATCTGGCTGCAGTCCTGAAGACATTAACAGCCACTGGTTTGAGACTGGTAATATGGCTCAAGATTGTTCTCAGATGGTGTCAGATGTATTCATACTTTGTAATCGATTATCCACTTGTTATTCTCCTCCCCCTCCCCCACTTATACGTTTATTAAAGTTTTTCCTTTATTCTATGCCTTTTATATGTGTGCTTTTATTAATTCTGACAACTTGGACGGCTGCACTGTTGTCCATGGTTCTGCGTAAAGAATCCCGTCAGTCAGTCAGTTAGTCAGTCAGCTAGGTTTTTTAATGGTTTCATCAGCTGATTACAAGTATCAAATAGTATTTATCGAATACTCTAGCCACTTGTTTCCTTCTTCTATATCGTTGTTGTCTGTTTTGTTATGTTTTTCTTTTAACAGAAAAGAAATCTTTTACAACGATTTTCTATACCTGAAAGTAATTTAATTTTATATATGAATGCTGTAGAAGAAAAATACAATGACAATCCATATCATAATTGTATTCATGCAGCTGATGTTGTCCAATCAACACATATACTGTTAAATGCTCAGTCATTAGAGGTGAGTTTTGTTTTTGTTTTTTCTTTGTTTCCCTTGTCTAGTGATGACTATATCATCAATGTTGCGCCTGTTATTGTTGCCACTGGTCTGAAAAAATGGCCCACTGGAGGGGGAGGGGTCTAGTGATTGAGCCACAGGATATTACTACATATTGTCCCTGTCTTAATAGAGGCTGGGATGAGTCTGTTCTGTTCCTCCTGAAAACCACTGAATAATCATCTAGGCAGTGCGTGTGTTACAGTGTGAAAAGCTTCGATAATTCAGTGGCCGAATGCTCTCAAACCACACTTGTCGTCAGGTGTTCAATTTACGGCCAACAAACTTCTACACCTCAACCAGGCTGAAAACCCCTATCCCGTAAAAGTAACGCGACCGCTAATGAAGGTTTGAAGCTCAAAGGACTGGGGACAGGAATCAAATCAGTTTGGTTAAATTCGCAAACAATCAATCTGAGGTGTAAGTGAGCTAACTTAGACAGTCTCCTGTTGGCGTGTTACATGTATAATATTGTAACAGCAGAAGGCAAGACACTGAAGCCAAGGTATATTTTCAAGTGATCAGACAGCTATTTATATCTATATAGGTTTATTTCTTTAACCATTTACTGAGTGTGTGATTTTGGTTTACTTATTCTAAAGCCTAATACAGGATTACACGACTGGTTGCAAGTGTGAACACATGTGAAGTGTTATCAATAGTTGGTTTTCAAGGATTAGATTTGTTTTCTCGAGTTTGACCACGGATTGATATCAGTTAGAGAATCATTGAAAACGAGCACTGGAGTACTGCACAGCCAAGTGTTCCATCCTAGTTTGGGAATCATCGACAGTACTCACCCACCACAGGGAGTTCGAACCCTTCCGGTAACAAGGCGAGCTCACAGATCATTAAGCCACTGGGACACAATCCAATGGCCAGCTTATGAATTCCAACTTCTGCCAATTTACAACATATCGCGAGCACTAGCCAATATCTTGGGTGGTAAGTATTTGTGCTCACACCCGACCTGCTGCACCCTAACGGAAGGTCCTGGATTCGAACGCCGGTGGGTGCGTATTGCTGAAGATTCTCAAACTAGGACGTAACAGCTGTCCAGTACTCCCAATTTTTCCAAGGGTTCTCTAACCAATGTCAGCTCATGATGAAATCCTGTGACATGAAATAGAATGTTCAAATACATAGATTATTCTGTTGCTAATGTTCGCATGAATTGTGAGAATAGTATTCAGATGTTAACACAAAAAAAAAATACAATGATTCTTACTGTAAGAATAATATTCCGTTGGGATTCACTGTCTGTATCACACTACCATAATATAACCAATACTATGAAAGCTGATATCATGAATCTGATTAAGCCAATCCAACTATTCCATTTGATATCCTCTTCTATGGTGATAAGCTGAGTGATAATTGGTTAAACATTCAGACACCAATAACGCTTGGTTTATGCCAATCATCTGTGACACAATTTTGGTTTGTAGGGCAGAACATTCACTCAGTTTCCAGTAAAACAAAAGCTTAACTGAATAGTATGGGTTCTAACAATCAAATTTTGAAAACAAAGGAGATTGAGTTCAAGCAATCAACGTGAAATTCAAGTAATAACTTCAGCAAATATCACCTGATACACATTGCACAAGAGGTAACTTTTATGGCCCAGTCAGTAGGCCTTTGATGTTTTAAACGACAGGCGCTGAACCATCACTCAGCAATGATGAAGACATTCCCAGATGATGAGTTCTATGTAGGGCAAAACACATACTTCCTATATTCCCCTATTAGCTTCCACTGAACTATTAACATCAAGGATTAATAAGGTTCTCTGTGAGTCTGCTATACGAAAATGTTTTACACCTAGAAGTCAGTTATTTAGTTCTTGCTGCGACTACAGTTTTGATGCCATATCAATTTTGGGCAAAGTTAAACTTTAAGTACCACTAACTAACTACCAATCAGCGCGCGACTTCTCCGCCTACGCCCCCACTGACTGCAGTTCGGATGAAACGAAGGATGAGTTCTACCAAAAGCTGTCTAGTTTGGTGAGAAAGGCTAAACGCTCAGATATAGTCGTTCTAGCTGGTGACTTTAATGCTCAAGTAGGGAAATTGTGTCAATCTGAGAAGGATGTCGGTGGCACCTATGGAGTTCCGTGCCAGCGAACCGACAACGGTGACCGTCTCCTACAGTTCTGTTCAGATAATCATTTGTTTCTTGTAAGCACTAACTTTAAACACAAGGAGAGACACTGTTTAACCTGGCGACCCCCATCATCAAACCAACGCTGGACACAAATAGACCACATAGCAATAAGCTATCGTTGGCGTGGGTCGGTAGGAGATTGTCGCTCCTTCTGGAACACGTGTGTAGATACCGATCACGCACTGGTCCGGGCTCGTGTGTGCTTACGACTGAACGGACGTAGGAAACAGCTGGCGGTAAAACCATCACGTCCCCAGCTCGATCAGGAAACTAAATCCCTATTTGAGGAAGAACTAGCTAAACGCATATCTGAGTTCGACAGCTGTGCTCACCCTGGAGAAGCCTGGAAGAATATTCAGTCAGCTATAGATACAGCTGTAAAAGCTGTGAATAAGGCAAATCCAAAGGTGAGTAAAAACCACTGGATTTCGACTGCCTCATCCGAACTGATAGATGCTAGAAGACTTATTCCGGCGAGCTCCGAATTCAATGAGGAGCGAAAGCTGCACAAAAGGAAACTTACTAAAAGTCTCCGCAAGGACCGTGAACAGTGGTGGCTGACAAAGGCAAAAGAGATGGAAAAAGCATCGGCGATAGGCAACACTAGGCAACTCTTTAGACTCATCAGGGAAACGGGTGGGAGAAGGCAAATCATAAGTGAGACTATTTCTGAGAAAAATGGCTCCTTAATTAGCTCTCAGGATAGACGCCTTGAACGCTGGAAAGAACACTTTGAGGACAATTTAACTTGCCTACAGCCACACTGAACCTCCCCGACATCCAGCACACACCCGAATGGGATATAGACACTGGTCCGCCGTCTGTAAGTGAGGTCACAAAAGCTATCAGTAATTTGAAACGAGGCAAAGCGGCAGGACCCGACGGAATTATTCCGGAGGTGTTTAAATATGGGGGTGACATACTAGTTTGTAGATTAACTGAGGTACTAGGCAAAGTCTGGGAATCAGAGACAGTGCCATCAGACTGGGGTAAGTCACTTATTATACCGATATTCAAGAAGGGAAACAAGTCCTCGTGTGATAATCATAGGGGGATCAGCCTAACGAACATAGTCTCTAAAATCCTAGGCTCAGTAATCATGCATAGACTAAGCAGAACTCGGGAGGAACAGACAAGGGAAAATCAAGCAGGCTTTAGACCAGGTAGAGGGTGCATAGATCATATCTTCACTCTTCGACAGATTCTAGAACATAGACACACTTTTCGGCGTCCAACAATTGTCATATTTCTTGACTTGAAGGCGGCCTTCGACTCCGTGGATCGAAAGGTACTATGGCAATGTCTGACTGTGAAGGGAGTGCCAAGAAAGTACATTGCACTAATCAAGGCACTCTATTCAAACTCACGTAGTCGTGTAAGGGCTTATGGGGAATTGTCATCTGAATTGGTAACAACCAGTGGTGTCCGACAGGGATGTCCACTTTCCCCATTTCTGTTTAACTTCATCATAGATATGCTGATGGAAGTATCCTTAACTGAACGTAATGACTTAGGAATCGACTTGTTACCAGGGAATAGTCTTATGGACTTAGAATATGCAGATGACATAGTCCTGTTAGGGGAGGATGCTGACAAAATGCAGAGTCTTCTGAACACCTTGAGCAGCAATCTTCGTATGTTTGGCATGCGATTCGCCCCTACAAAATGTAAGATGCTGCTACAGGACTGGACCACGTCAACTCCTAACTTAGTGATAGGGAGTGAAGTGATAGAACATGTTGACCACTTCACCTATTTGGGAAGTTGTATTAGCACCAACGGACTGATTGGCGATGAAATCTCAGCACGGATCCGAAAAGCTCGAGCTGCTTTCGCTGACTTACACCATCTCTGGCGTAGGCGTGACATCCGGTTATCAACCAAGGGACGTGTGTACTGCTCATCAGTTCGCTCCGTCCTTCTCTATGGCTCTGAAACATGGCCAATACGCGTTGAAGACATGAAAAGGTTGACTGCTTTCGATCATAGATGTCTGCGATCTCTGTCTCACGTTAGGTGGTTTAATAAGGTAAGTAATGTTGACGTTAGGCGTAGAGTGTTGGGCAAAGAGGGAAAATCAATCGACGAGGCTATAAAGTTACATAGATTGAAATGGCTAGGTCACGTGCTGCGCATGCCTAACCACCGCCTCCCCCGACGGGCATTGCTAGCTGATATAGGTGCAGGTTGGAAAAGAGCAAGTGGTGGCCAAACAAAAACATGGCCTCATCAATCCATGAAATCCTTGACAGTTAAACTGAAGTCAGGTAGGGAGATGCAGACTTCCGGGTTGGGGCCCTCGGGACTCTAGGAATCAATGGCTGGAGACAATAGGTGACATGGCTCAAAATCGTTGTCAATGGCTAGCGCAGATGTATTCAGTCTCTGTAATCTTTCATATTCCTTTCTACCATTACCCATTCTGTTTCACTCTTATACTTGTCAAATTCTATTGATTCTCTTCACCCACCTTCTTGTCTGCCTCTGTGTGCTGTTTGGAAGGTGGCAACTGGAACTGCTGCACTTCGGTGCGAAGTTCTATGTTGAATCCAGACAGACAGACAGCGCGTGACTTCGAACGCACCAATCATGTGAAGGAATACATATATTTATGAAAAAGATGTATAAAAGCTGTAGCAAAGTGTTACAGAGGATACTGCTCTCACATGTAATAAAAATAACTCTCAGTTTTAGGTTGGAGTATCAACAGCATAATTCCATAGTGGATAAAATTTATTTTGATAAACTCTCATAGTGCAGTACAGTAATATTTACTGAGCGATAAATTGTGCTCGAAACGTCATCAGTAAATACTACTGTGTAACTCGAACCAACCCTAATGTCACCTCAATTAGATTCACCTGACCCTAACTTGTCCTTGCCTTAAAGCGTAACTTAATCTTTCCAAAACCCAAGCTGAAACTTCCTAGATATCCCATTTATTAGTATAACACTTCGATGAGCATATTTTACTGATGATGACAACATAATTTGCCAGATTTCACTAACTTGCTTAGTGAGCGTTTCAAGGTCACTGGTCCGGTCATACTCTATAGGCAGTTACTGATTGCTAAAGTTTAACTTGGCCCAATTTTGTTAGTAGTATATTTTATTAGTTGTTAAAGAAAGGAAAACAAACTTCTAAAGCTGTTGTTTTTTGAATCTGAAGAGGAATACAATGCACAGGTTTTTACTTTTATTCTAAGTTGCTATTGTTCATCCGGATGAATCTAAACAGCTTAATAGAGAACCCACGTTTTCAAGTGAGCTTATTTAATCCATACACACGACAATCAAAAAGATCATGCTTAAAAGAGCAGTGTTACTCCATAAGCAAGCAAATGCTTCTGTTCATTCGTGTGTGGGAGAAGATGCACACATTTACCCCGTAGCATAGTTACACTATATCGATAACTTTTTTTTCTATAGTTTGGTTTGTAACGGTTAGTTATGTATTTTTACGAGTTGATCACGGATGGGTATCAGTTAGAGAACCATTGAAAACCAGGGAGTTCTAGACAGCTGTTTCATCCTAGTTTGGGAATCATCGTATACCATGGTATACGAGCTTGCCTTGTACCGGAAGGTCCTCAGTTCGAATCCTAGTGAGTGCGTACTGCCAATGATTCCCAAACTAGGATGAGACAGCAGCTGTCCGGCACTCCCTGGTTTTAAGTGGTTCTCTAACTGATATCAATCCTTGATCAACTCGTAAAAAAAATATTCTTTAAATTTAATTAAAACCTACTCCATTAATTTTATCACTGCATTGTACATATAGATAAATTTAGTTTTCATAATATTTTTTAAATTTTATTCTTTTTGTCTCATTCTGCTTTCCACAAAAATATGTCATCTCTTATGGCACCAAAATGGTTACAATGGATTGTTTTGAATATCTGCATGAATAACCTTCACTGTGTCTATCAATTTCAACAGTCGGTTTTTACAGATTTAGAAATTTTTACCGTCCTGTTTGCTTGTGCTATTCATGATGTTGGGCATCCAGGCGTTACAAATCAATATTTAATCAATACAAGTAAGTTTCGATTTTTCATTGGGGAAAATATTGTTAGATATGGTGACAAAGGTACTAGCAACAACAAGGTTATTCTTTTAGCAGACTAATCATGTGTGTGTGGTATTCACTATGTGGACAACCGTGATTGGTCAGAACAACAGACAACCTTGCTGTTTCCAATGTCCTTGAAAGCCTTTTAAAAGCTTATACTTTAGAGGCTTTAAACTCTGATCAAGATTTAATCAGATAGCTCCACAAACTTAAGGCATCTTATGAAAAGTAGACATATGCGAGAAGTATAGTTGTGTAAACTCTAGCCGACTAGATCGTTGTGTGGCGTGACGCAGACTGACTGTAGAGGTAGAAGTGGTTATTCCTTATTGTCCGCTAACCTAGCCAAACCTTAATGTGGCTAAGAATACATAAATTTGTAGCTTATCATTTCCAGTTAAAGTTGACGGAAACGTTGGAATTATTTATATCAGTTTCTCTAAGATTTATAGAAAATATAGTATTTAAATATCTCTTGGATAATTTTTGCACATTCTTATTATTACTGGTTGAATTTTCTCAATATCAAAGATACACACTCGTATATGAGCAATAGTTCCGTGAGCAAATATCATTTCTTGGTAAAATCCACATTGAAAGTATTCAGAATCCCTACAAAATCCAAAATCTCCCGTTCACTAATGGCTGGGGAAAAGATTTCGTAAAGTTCAAATGAGAAGTCATGGCTGGTGAGAAAAGTGGAATATCTGTCTGTCTGTTTTCGACATACAACTTTGCAAAGATGCACAGCAGTTCAAGCTGCCACACTCCCCCCATGTACCGCACAAAGCAAGAGAAGAAAGTAGAAGAAATGCATAATAGAGACAGTAGACAAGGCTATGAGACAAAAGGAATAGTAATAACGAAGAACAACATAGTTTCATTGGAAATCATAAGTCACAGGGAGTAGATGTATCTGCGCTAGCCATTGAGAACGGGAATTTTGAGCCATATCACCAATTGTTTCCAACCATTAGGTTTTACCGTCCCGAGGATCCCAACCAGTCAGGAAGTCTACACCTTCCTACGTGGCTGGCCTAAACTAACTGTTGGGGATTTCATTGACTGGTGCCATGTTTTGATTTAACCACCGCTAGCTCTTTTCCAGCCTAACCCTATGTTAGCTAACTCTCATTCATGGTGCTAGTTATCGATGTGACTAAATTAGAAGTTGACAAAAGCTGAAATTTACGGGTCATATAACCCCAACGCGCTTGTAGAACAGTTAGTGAGCTGACCTGGCAGCCTGGAGGTTTTCGGTATGATCTCCAAGTGAGTCTGTGGGTGTGTACTACTGAAGAGTTATAAAACAGGATGAAATAGTGCTTCAGTGTTCCTTGGTTCTCAATTACTACTGTGGTTACATAACAAGATGACATAAAATTAAACTAATCAAAACATTAATTTTCGCTTCTCTTCTCTTCTCTCTCTCTTTACAGATGACAAATTGGCAATTTTATACAACGATTCATCTGTACTCGAGAATCATCATTTAGCTATTGCATTTTCACTACTCGGTCAACCAGGTCATGATGTTTTTGAGAATTTTCCAAGGAAACAACGACTCAGTTCTAGACGTATGATTATTGATATGGTAAGTGATAAATTCATGAGAGTGAAAAAAAAATGTATATAAATATCCCCCCATATTGTTGTTAAATGGTCAGAGGTGACCAGTGGGAAGCCTAACGTGACCTAGGTTTCATCACCAAGATTTATCTATATATATAGTCTTAAAGGAACTCATCTTCCTTCCAAAATTTGAATGCGTCTCACTGAATTATTCCAGCTTCCGATTGACTTTCTGCAGGATCACAATGGATACTTTGATTGGACACTAGACAGATTAACTAATGGCATGCGTCTATTTTTATGTTTGGTCCCCATAATATATATATATGTATACTGAGAATAAGAATAATTAGGGCGAATCATTATTTTCAATAAATCCTTATTCAGGCTTTATAGTTATAAACTTCATTAACGTTAGTATACAATTGGTGGATGGTGGTTAGCAGTGGAATCCAGGATGCACATTTCGTCCTATTTGGGACTCGTCAGCTGGATGTACCTGCATTTTTCAGTGAGTGATGTTCCCACCGAGGCTCGAACCCAGTACCCATAGTTTCAAACGCCAAAGCGTTATCCGCTAGACCACTTGGGCCACGAGAGCCACCTCTTGTGCTAGCCACCATCCACCAATTGTATACTAATTAAATACCCAGACATCGTCGAAGCATCTGCACAAGAAGCCGACATGTCAACCTGAGACCGAGCACTTCGGTCCAATCAATCGACGGGAAAATCAAAAATTCAATTCAATAATTCATTAACGTTAGTTAGCATACAATAGCCAGAAAAAGTAAATCTAAATTATATTCGAAACTGTATTCCACCAGTTTGACTTGGAAAGGAATGAAGAGGTCAACAATCAATGAATGGCATCTTATATCACCCTTAGCGGATAGTGAATAACACATCAAGATAGGAGAGGTATTAACTGCTGAACGATACAACAGTTAAATGACTTGATTTTATGAGAAACGGTCACAAAGAGATAACAGACTCATAACCTTCAGTAAGAAAACAATCAATGAGAAGAGGTTGCTTCTCAACCAACAATAATGCTAATAATAGTGCACATAATAATCCATAAATACCCCTTGATTTTTTCAATAAACGATCTGTTACCTGACCGTTGTCTTCTGTCGTTACAAAAGTATATCACTTTATACAGTATTATCAAATATCTAATAATACAAAATACTACTCTATTCCTAAGGTGATGTAAAGTGTTCAATCACCAATCCCTAAGGATTATTTCTCGTTAGCCTGTTTTAAAAAGGTGGAATAATGAGCTCCCGAATTGATAAAAGGATACAACTTGAGCACTGTAGTGGAGTATAACTCCATTATGGATAAAATTTTATTTTGATAAAATCACACAGTGTTATACAGTAATATTTATTGATGACGTTTCGAGCACTGAGTAGTACAACAAAAGACCTAAATGATAAGATGAAAAAGATAGAAGAATGCCTGGCTGGTTGATCAAAAGCAAAATAAAAGTAGTGGTGAGACTAATAATAATAACATTAAATAAGAGAGAATATAAGACATCTACAGTTCTGCCATATAAGGAGGGGACATCTGAGGCCCTTTACAAGTAGGATTCTCAATAAATCAGGAATTAGGATGGTGGCATTCAAACCCACAAACTCACTCAGGCAGGACAAGCTCTGCAGGTTAAAGGACCCGGTGGACCCAATCAAACAAAATAATATAATTTACAAAATACCTTGCAGTGATTGAGAGTTAAGTCAATTACGCAGGTCAAACTAGTAGATCAGGAGTAGTCAGATTATCAGAACATAAGAATTTAGCTAAGGTTAGAATGATATGCCCGGCTAAGATAACAATGATATAAGAATAAAAAAAGCTCAGCAATTGTACTGCATGTATTACCACACAACCATACAATAGGGTGGGAGAGGATTAAAATTCTTATACGTAATATGGGTAGGTGAAGAGCCTGAGAGATTGATTACTGAATCCTGTTTCATAGAATCTTCATCCAACACATGCGACAGAAATGACTCAACGCAAATACCAGAGATATGGAAGATATTATTACCAGCAGTCAAATCAGAGGAGGATAAATAATATTAAAATGTATTCAATTCACATAATAACATTCTAACAATTTACTTATTCTTACTGTAAAAAACATCTTATTGTATTTTACTGATAACACATATTATTTCTGAATTTTCGAGTATTGGTTTTGTAGGGGTTTTGTTTGATTGCATGGGGGATTTAATCATGAGCTGACATCAGTTAGAGAACCACTGGAAAACCTGGGAGTACTGGACAACTGTTTCGTCAGCCTAGTTTGGGACTCTTCAGCAGTACGAACCCACCGGGATTCGAACCCAGGACCTTCCGGTTACAAGGCGAGCTCGTATACCATTAAGCCATTGGGACCCGACCCAATGGTCCTTGAAATCTAACTTCTGCCAATTCACGACATAGCACGACCACTTCGCAATGTCTTTTTCGATGAGTTACTGTCTCATCTTCAGCCTGCTGTACCCTAATGGTCACTGGTCTACGAGCTCACCTTGTAACCAGAAGTTCCAGGGTTCGAACCCCAATGGGTGCCTTCTGCTGAAGAGTCCCAAATTAGGACGAAATAGTTGTCCATTACTCCCAGCTGGTTTTCCAGTGGTTCTCTAACTGATGTCAGCTCATGGTGAAACCCCCCATGCAATTATTTCTGAATCTACGTTATCTAATATTGATTTTATTCAAGTGTTTAGTCGATTTTTACTCATGGATATTAATGAAGCAAGAAAGTTGTGTGAGCAATGCCCTGATATGATTATGAGCAGTAATAATCATTTAGGCTCGAAACGTGGTCATCAGTAAATATTACTGTACAACACTGTATGACTTTTTCAAAACCAAATTTTTACCCTAATGGAGTTACCTTTAAACTTTATCAATAAATTTCAATCACATCACAATCAATCGCAAATTAACCATCCAGCTCAGAGAACAAAACCACATCAAAATCACATTTATATATCATTATTTGTGTGTGTGTACTTGAGGTTTCTCAAGTTTAGATAATTGATCAGGTAATAAAAGAATGATCTAATATTGAAACAAGGTTAATTGGACAGCAACTAAATTAAGATTGAGTTAGAAGAAGTAATATAATTGACTAAGATGTTTCAACTTAGGTCAGGATAGCAACAGAGGTAATTACAGGTAGAGACTAAGTAGGAGTGGGGTAGAGAACAATGCCATTTAAATTGGAACTGAAATTGAGCAATTGAGTTGGACGACGTAACATAAATGAACAGAAATTGGGCGTTGGTCAGGTGAATAACAGTGGTAGTGAGGTGTAGAAATTAAATTGGGTGGGGGTAGAGAACAAGAGAGTTGAAAATGTAAAATATTACCATTGAGAAGACAAAATAATACTAATGAAGAGACAGAAAAAAACAGAGACTAGGTAGAATTTACTTGTCGGGTAATAAGATATATTAAGTCCATTGTAAGTGTAGTGATTGAACGATCTTTTTCTGTATGCAGAGTCCAGGGCTCAGCAAGTGAATCGCCATTGCTTCTGCAGTTTGAAGAAGTCTGATTAGTACACCTTTAGGAAGACTACTTCTTACTCTGTAGACTACTTCGAAGTTTGTTTGGGGTGCAGCTAGGTGTCCGGATTCTATCAGATGTTCTACGATGCAGCTGCGGGGAAATCGTTCTTCTCCCTTGTAAAACCATGTTGGTAAGTGTTCGGTGATACATTTGGAAAGCGAACGCTGGTTTCGGCCGACATACCTGGCTCCACATGAGCAGGTGGATTGATAAATACACACTGATGAGGCCAACAGTGGTAGCTTATCCTTCACGTTCACATGAATCATAGGTTTTGTGGAGAATGTTAGTCGTAGTTCAGCTGCGAAGAAGGTCTTCTTAAGTGAGCGCGACAGTCGATTTTTTAGTGTTTCAGCAGACATATCTCGAATGAATTGATGTTTCGTGTAGAGTAGTTTTTCGAAACACTGAGCATGGGCGGCTTTTGTGGTCTCGGATTCGTAGATTTCGCAATAAATCGTTCTGGATACCAATGCTCGACTAAGATTCTCTTGAGATTGTCCACTTCATCTTCTATGGTGTCCGGGTGTCATCTAACTTACTAACTCAATCTTACTTTAGTTACTGTCCAATTAACCTTGTTTCAGTATTAGATCATTCTTTTATTACCTGATCAATTATCTAAACTTGACAAACCTCATGTACACACACACAAAAAAAATAATGATGTATAAATGAGATTGTACAGCTATGTGAATGAATTCGCCGAAAAGAGTCTCTTCGCTGAACGTCTTCTCTATCATATAAATTTCAATCAATAGTATTGAGATGTGGGAACATGAATTACTTCTACTGACCAATCAGCGAATAGTCTTGAATAGACTTATTGATTTTTATGACTATTGTTATTATCATTATTATTGTTATTATTTTCCATAAAAATGAAACAAAGCCAATTAGTTTAAATGTTATCCGCATGATAAAAAATTTTGCGACAAAGAACCTTGAAGACAAAGAAAGAACTTTCTTAGTTTTGACAAAAAACACACATACAACCACATACATACACACGCACACACGCGCGCGCAATTCAAGGCGTATTACGTAATAACACGATATGAAAAAAAAAATAACACATGTAGAATAAATCAAATACAGTCGGGCTGGAAATGCTATCGAGATGTGTATTACGTAAGCAATAAACGTAAAACGAATTTCGCTTAAAATACACGGTTGCGAAGTTAATAATGTTCGGGCTTGGGGAGGGATGGTGGAGGGGGGGAGAGTGAATAAAGCTCCGTTCATAATAGTTTTAGTTATTTTTGTGTCTGAAATGACATTTTTAGTAATAACATTTTGTTTTATGTCATATTTCATGATTGCTTTTCTTTATTTTCTTTTTTTGTTGATTGCCTGCATTCTAAAAGGAGCATAGAGCTTCCTTCAGGTTGTAACCTTTGAAATTTCATTAGCAGTGATATCTCGTCTATTTTTACGGCATAGGGTTGTTAGTGTTACACTCAGATTAGGCCAGATATAGGTTCATACTGAGCTTTCCTTTTCATTAATCTGCTTCCCAAGTAGAACATAGCGTTTCAATCTTTTAACTTTGAAGTTTCGATAGGGGTGCAGTTTTTCCGGGGTGGGGATGGGGGGGGAGGGAAGAGATTACCAGGCCCAAATTCGACCTTCCCTCTTTTTCAGAATTACTACAGGCTCATAAATTAAGCGAGGTTTAGGAATTTGTCGGCCTGGAGGCTGAACCCACGATACGTTCGTGGTTGGCGAGTATTCTACCACAAGACCACCAATGCATAAGTTCATACTGAATATAAATGAATCACACTATATACTACTTACTAACTGAGACAAGTAGTCATTTGAAAGAAGAGAACACGAAATTCAGCAAAGATGCTGATCTTTTCGGTGATTTCATTTTCAAAAGCTGGACAATCGCATTTAAATAGATAATTTAACATGGATATAATTCTTGTTTAAATCTACGTAATTACGACGGCGAATGTGCATTGAGAAACCAGAGCTGTGTTTTCAAAAGAAATTAGTCCAACCTCTACAACTACCATGGACCTAGTTCGGTATGTTCCCTTAGCTTCCATTCCCATTTTCCTCTTCGTTCGTTCTCTTTTTCCATTTGATCTTTTGTCGTTCGCTGTGTGTGTGATTCCTACCCCCTCTGTCTTTATTCGATTCACTCCACTTTTTTCAGTTATAAAAACAGTTATTTTAAGTTTGTTTCCATGCTTTTCCCTGTTCACATTTATAATTCGTTTAAAATCAACTATTTTACAATTATATCTTAATCCTGTGGAATTTTTGTGTTTCTAAGTCTCCTGTAATCTATATTCGCGCCTCCTAACTCCCATCTCAAGTTGAAAATTATTATTTCAATTTTGTTTCCATGTTCATTTTTACACACTTGTTATCCGTTCTAATCCTGTGTAATTTTGTTTCTAAGCTTCTCGTAAAAACCATATCTAGTTGAAAATAATTATCACCTTTTATGCGCCGTCATAATTAATGCAGAATCAAACAAGAATTGTATCCATGTAAAATTATACATTTAAATGCGATTGTACAGCTTTTTGAAAATGAAATCACCGAAAAGATCGCCATCTTTGCTGAACTTCTTGTTCTCTTCTTTCTAATGTCCATATGGGTGTTTTCCACGATGTGAAAAAGTAGTCATATATCACTCACATCAATCAGGTAGTGATCTAACCACCGGGTGATCGTTTATCTCGTTCGCGAGTGGGGAGGGGGGGAGATCATTAGCGATGTGCCCGGTTTGACACAGCCCAGAGAGCCGAATCTTTTCAAATCACCCGATTTCTGGCTAACTGCTTTAGCGAACTCATAATGCCTTAAATTAAATTTGAAAATTTGATTCCTATTGAATACACTACTAGAACGACTTATTCTGTATGCCAGCTAGTAAACATGAACCAACGAACAGTGTACAGAAATAATTATTATTATTGAAATATTTCTCAAGTGCTTAGAATTTTGAAGGTAATCGATATTTTCCACGACTATTTATTGTTTCACAAGAAAATTACAAACCTATATGTTAATTTCACTTTTATAGTTAAAACTCTTGTACTCTTTTAAACCAAATGAGTACTGATCAAGAGGAATAATTTAAGTTGATAGAATATCAGAATTGTTTCACTAGATAAACTGCTGTACACCCCCTCCCCTAATTTATGCCTATATTTACTAAAAATAACTATATGGGGCATTTATCATGCAATTAGGATAGGTTTCGTAGTTTTCACCTTGTCTGAAGGCTGGGTCCTCATTTATCTATAATTCTTTGAACTTATTTGTGAATTTAGTAGTTATCACAGTCCTTAAAACTTACATATTCAGCGTAGCTGTCAAATATTTTAACCATTGTTTCGGACAACCAAGGTAGTGTGGTCAGCAGTCTAGCTTTTTGTCTTATTTTCGTGTGTGAAGGTGACATTGTTGCTGATGTTGTGTTTGGCTGCATGACTAGCAGTTAGAGTGGTTTTCGTTACCGCATTAGGTTTGTGTTGCTCACAATCTTCATGGTCATATTTCCGTTCATATTGTGAATAAGTAATTTCTGCGCTTAAGTTTTGATATTAATCAATAATAGTGAATAAGATTTACAGCTGTTAAAAAGAAAACAATCACAGTACTCCTTAGTCTTCAGTAGTTCACTAACTGAAGTCAGTCCATGATGGAAATTGGAACCAATCAAATTCCTGCAAACCGACACTTAAAAACTGGATTAATGCTCACAATTAATGACAAGCTAAGTTCACCAAGTTGTCTGGGTGGACAAACACTCGTCGATGATAGTGACTGGCATTCACGCTACATATCGTCAATTGGCAGAAGTTAGGAATGATGGGCGTCGTGACTTTGTCCCTGTGGCTTGATGGTATACTAGCTCGCCTTATAACCTTGAGATCCGGGATTCAATACCTGATGGAGTTGTGGTGCATCTTGAATGTTTGAACTTTTGTTTTAACGCATACATGTACTATGGCGCTACGCCATCTTTTTCTTACTTGACTGGTTGCACATGGCTAGCTCCCTCATTGTGCTACCACAAAGCAGACTCCTCGACTTTGCTACCCCACCCTGTCTATAAATAAACTCTACGATATTACTGCGTATGAATTTTGGTTTTTCACTTGTTATATAAATATAATTCCTGTTAGCGCACACAACAGTGCATAAGCTTTTGATCTGGACTTCATTCATTAGTACATACACGGTATGTGTAGTCGAGTGATCAGAGTTAACCGAGGAAAGGAAGTTTAGTAAGTGCTGATGTTTAAAGCCTATCTAGAGGTCGGCTTGGGCACTTACAGGGTTATGACTGCTTACTGCTGAAGGGTTCCAAACTAGGATGAAGCAGCTGGATGGTGCCCACTGGCTTTCAAGTTTCCTAACTGAAATCTTTTCATGGTCAAATCCCCAATAAATGATACATTATTATTACAATATAGCCTTTTAACGAAAGGCATATTTGCGCATATCTGACTTAGATGGTGCGGACAGTCACTTACGTGTTTACATAGTCCAGCCTTTAAAACTTATTCTTGCATAAAGCCAAATATGCAGGATGATGTCTGATATCAAAAAATAGTCTAAAATAAGCTGGACGGTTTAACTGCAAACTTTTCATTATCTTCATAGAAAACATATTCAGTGCTTACTTCAATATGATATTATTGCCCACATTTGTTATTGTCACTATTTATTCTACGTGTATATTTGTTTTTCGCATATAATTTAGGTTTTAGCTACAGATATGTCAAAGCATATGAGTTTACTGGCTGATTTAAAAACAATGGTTGAAACAAAGAAAGTGGCTGGATCTAGTATTCTTACACTGGAAAGTTATATTGATAGAATGCAGGTAAAATAGGCGTTTTAATTTAATTACTTTTTTCAATCTATATTTTTATTTTTACTGTCATTTACTTTAATTATTAAAACATCTATGCTCAATGTACAATAGTGAAGTTTTGTGATATTGAGGAATGCGAAATGAGGACTATGTCTCATTAGAGTCTGGTTTACCGACTAAGTCATAACGTACTCAACACTGTTGTGTGGCGGTTCCATGCAAGCCTAGCCCTGTACAGGTTTTAGCCGCTACTAGTGTCTAACTTATTAAGGAACCATCATTCTTTGGACCTATAGGTTTACAAAGCAAGTTGGGACTTTCCACTACGAAACTGTGACGTAATACCGAGTTCATTTTGTTTTGAAAGTGATATAGAGGTAACATAAACGTGCCCTACGACTTCAGTTCAATAACCATGAATATTGCAGAGCATAGAAGTGGACTTTGAAATTGTGAATTTGTTAGATTGGGACTGCACACACTATCAATAAAAAATTAACCTTTAGGTATTTATGACTTAAAACTTTTTATTTTGTCCACTAGACTCTCCTACTTTTCACACTGATGTTGTCAGCAAATTAGCATTCTGACTGAAGAATTATTAAAAGCTTATAAATGCTTGAATAGCGGGATTATTGTCAGTGGAATACAGGAGCTGAGTTATTTTGCCATAATTGTGTTACGCTATTTACTGCTCATTGACTGATAACAACAGTTGAATACCACTCATGTCAACCAGCGTACTTACTGGCTAGATCTAAGTGACCCGAACAGTGGGAGGCTGTTTCGCTTGTTTGGGATCGAGGTCTTCAGCAACACTTCCGGTGTGACTCAGATCAGAGAGTTGACTCAGTTCCGATCACCCAATTTTTGGCTAGTTACTTGGGTAGACCATAGATCTGGCTTATGGTATCATTTTATACTTACTTTGAAACAATAAAGACTTGTTTCCCAAGTGGATGCGTTGGTTTAGTTATCAAGCCTTCAGTTTCCTTTTAGGTAACATCTTTACCGCCAACTTTAATTTGAAGTGAGCTTTGGAAATTCCCTATGAATGATATGCTTCTCTCTACCGATGACCTTACCATATTTTCTTGTTCTCATGAAATTCCTTTTGATTGTATCCAGTATGTACTGTTACTGATTCTGTCATTCACCTGATATTCACTCTTTCTGGTGTTAGACCTATTTTGGAATCCAGAAGTTTATTAATTTTGAATTTTATCAGGTATCTAGGAATACCCTGTCTCATGTTTTGTTTCGATTACTGGGTTTCAAAGGGATGTGGACTGATTTCCACGTGAATTTTAGGAAGAACTATCACCATGTAGAGAAGCATTGAAAAACAAGGCGTACACACCAGACAGCTGTTTTGCTCTATTCATATGAACTGTCGTCAAGATTTGACCGAATACTTCCAAAATAATTGGGCGCCAAGTGAGAAGTAGATATTTGTAGAGATTATATTTGGTAAACTCTCAGTGGAATTGAAATGAGTAATTCCAACGTTTCCTGCATTCGGAAAACTGGTCAGAACCTTTTCAGGGAAATTAATCGAAATTAACATAACAAAGGTTTACATATGAAAAGGACATCTTTTGCTTTTAAAAACTTTGTCCAATCATATGAGTCAGGGAACAGTCATCAAAATATAATAAACAAAATTGTATTCGCTAGGATCGAAATTTGACCTCAAACTTACAAATATTAGTCTACTTTTGTTAAACACTTTAAAAAGAATGTAGTCTTCCCCAGAATTTTAGTAATTACGTTCGACTAGAAGTTCGTGGTCGTAGATAATTGAACATGAAAATATATGTGCATATATGCGGTATATAATGGTATGTGTGTATGGGTAAATAGCTGTAAAATATTTGTTAGCCTCTCCATAAGAAGATATATACGATCAGGAATTCTGACCAAGTATTATTAATTAGTGATACATATGCATTTTTTTATTTATCGATCAGGATTCGCCATTCATCAGCTGACACTACACCTTCACGTCTATCAAAACTTTTGCTACTCACCCATATATACAAAGCTTCTTCAGCCAGTCTTTCTTTGTAGGAACCAAAACCTTCTGTAGAACCTTAGTTTTATCAAAGTCGATCTTGTGTCCTGTTTCTATCGAATGCAGTGCAATCGCAGATCTGTTTTCTAGCTTCTTTAAATCTGCAGAGGTCTTTGGAACCACCTTTGGAGATTGTTTATGCTATCACTCCTACATTCACCTGTCTGGAATTTTCCCCTACTTATAATCATATCATTGAACAAAATTTTTAAAAAAACAGATGTCCTTTTTATATATAAAGGTCAGTTATGTTAATTTCGATTAATTTCCCTGAAAAGGTTTTGACCAGTTTTCCGAATGCAGGAAACGTTGGAATTACTCATTTCAATTCCTCTGAGATTTTACAAATATAATCTTTACAAATGTTTGCCCCACAAGAAATTGAACGCGGGACCTACTACTGGTTATGAGGTCAGCCCACTGAGTCGGAATTCGATGATCTATGAATAATAATAACACTACCACCAACCAATATCATCGATAAGCAGTCATCCACTTCGCTTTGATATCATGAATTCCACTGACAGCAACGCCTGCTTAGGACTTCGGAACAATTATCTAGTAGTCACTAATAAACTGGAGATTGATATTAAGAATATGTGTTTTCTTGTGCTTCCACTGTCTTGCCTATATTTAATAGTCTAATAATTCCCATTGTATCATTAAGAACACAATATTCAGCGAAGAGACCCTTTTTCAACAACGAATTTATTATCAAGCTGTATAATCGTATATATATATATATATATATATATATATATATATATATCCGGTGAGGGAATTAGGTCAAAGGTGTGAATACATAAAATAATAATAGTATGAAATGCAATTAAAATATATGTGATTTTAATCATGGTTTAATGTCATATATAGAATAATACATAAGGAGTATAGATTTGCTAAAGGGATACTTAATTATAGGATTAGTAGACGAATATGAAATGCTACACAACATGGTGTGGAATTAGATAGAATTCAGTATTGTAAAATTAAACAACATAAAAATTAATCATTTTGAGTTTAAAATGACAAGAGGGTTAAGTGGAAAAGATTCAGAGTGATAATAGTAATAATAATAATAATAAAAAATAATCGAAGTAATAAGGGAAAAGTACATAGAATAACTAAATAAACAAAATAAATAAATGTCTAGCCTTCTACGACCAGAAGTAGGGATGGTTCGTACTTCTTTTGTACACAAAGGTTTGACTTAAAGTTATGAAATGCCAAGGCCTCAGCTGTCTTCAAAAGTCTGTAACGAAGAAAATGCAGGAAGCTAGCTATATATGATCTTGAAATCATGGTCAGGGTTGACCGAGTGACAGAAGTCGATCAGGTATTCCAGAATACAGCTTCACACACACTTCCTTTCTCCCCTGTAAAATCAAGCTGGAATATGTTCTCTTATCCGTGTGAAAAGCATCCTCCGACTACGGCCAATGAACCTTGCTCCACACGAGCAGGTGAACTGATAGATGCACATGGAGGTGGCCAGACAGGGGAGCTTATCTTTTACAGAGGTAGAGAACAATTTACGGCTCGTGAACGTCATATGTAATTTTGCTGCAAAGAATGTCTTACTGACTGATTTAGAGAGACGACTTTCAAGCATTTCTGAAGCTTGATCACCTTTGAATTTCAAGTTCATGAATAAGGTTTTCTTTGGAGCTGAGTCGGTGATCAGTTTAGACAGCTTATCTTTCATGTTGCTGTCGATAAATCGGTTAGGCTAACTATTTTCTGCGAGTGAGGCTTTTACGAAGTCAAGTTCTGAGTCAATGCAATTAGAACTACAAATTTTCCTCATACTAAAGCAGAGCGAATGAATAAGGTTCCTTTTCCTGGAAATAGGCACCCAACTGTAAAAATTAGTTAGTTGTCCATTCCATGTAGGTTTCCGGTGGATAGATCTTTTGAGAGATCTGTCATTACGTCTGCTAAGGCACACATCAAGAAACGGAATACTTAGTTCGGATTCCTTTTCTATGGTGAATTGTAAAGAAGGATGGCAGTTGTTGAGAGCAAACAAGACATCATCAAGAATTACGTTATTATTGCAGATGACGAAAGTGTCGTCTACGTATCCTTTATACATGTCAGAATGACAGATGGTTTGACTATATTTATCTACGATACTCAATGGAGCTTAATTTTATTCATTATATTTTCTTTTCTATATTCAGATTTTACAAAATATGGTACATTGTGCTGATTTAAGCAATCCAGCTAAACCATTAGATTTGTATAGACAATGGACAGGTCGTGTTATGGAAGAACTTTTCCGTCAAGGGGATAAAGAACGTGAATTAGGCATCGATATTAGTCCGATATGTGATAGAAATACAGCGACTATAGAAAAATCACAGGTAATTTACTTAATATACTTTTGTTTGTTTGTTATTTGAATAAAAACTATTCCACTTCATTTCATACTGAATGAATATTCAGTTATGTTGGTGATGAAAGCATGCATGACTGATATTCATATAATACATAATGAGTAGATTTACTGATTGTAGTAAGAAGTTGAAAAAAAACCATCCACTTCAACAAGTTGATGGAGTTGGGGCTTGAATAAATTATTCGCTTGTTCACAGTCAAGTGTGCGTGTGTGTGTGTGCACGCAAAACTAGGATCCGAACTGCCCGCACACAAAGATAGATTACTGAAATGCTATTACTGTCTGTCTGTTTTCGACATAGAACTTTGCACAAATGTGCGCCAGTTCAAGTCGCCAAACTCCGTGTAGCACGCGAAGCAAGAGAAGAAAGTACAAGAAAAGCATAATAGAAACAGTGAGCAGAGATGTGAGACAAAGGAGTAATAAAGAAAAACAAAACAGTTTCATTGGAGATCATAAGTCACAAGGAGTGGATGCATCTGCGTTAGCCACTGAGAACGATTTTGAGCTAGCCATGTCACCAATTGTTTCCAACCATAGATTTTTACCGTCCCGAGGACCCCAGCCTGGAAGTCTACACCTTCCTACGTGGCTTAGACCAACTGTTGTGGATTTAATTGACTGGTGAAGCCAAGTTTTTGTTTGACCGCCGCTAGCTTTTTTCCAGCCTGACCCTATATCCGCTAACATTGCTCGTCGAGGGAGGCGATGGCTTGGCTACGCATATGTAACACATGTCCTAACCATCTCAGTCTTTGTAGCTTCACGACTTCGTCGATTGATTTCCCCTGTTTACCTAGAACTCTACGCCTAACCTCAATGTTGCTCACCTTATTATGCCACTTTACACGGGAAATAGAACGCAGGCACCTATGATCAAAGACAGCTAGTCTTTTCATGTCTTCCACTCTCAGTGGCCAGGTCTCACAACCATAAAGGAGGACGGAGCGGACTGATGAGCAGTACACCCGCCCTTTGGTCGATAGCCAGTCGAATATCTCGTCTACTAAGCCAGAGTCGGCGTAAACTGGCAAATGCGAAACGAGGCCCCTGTATTCGCTATTACACATACATAACACATCATGTTTATCGAATCAAGTGCAAATACGTGTAATAGGAATGATTCAACACCTGTCCAGCCAGATTTCTGGGAAATTCTACTACCCCAACGATGACAAATAGAAGAGAACAAAAAAACCCATAAAACTTAAGTTTTACAGTCGTGTGATTATAACTGATGGCATGATTATGAGCAATAAAGTTTGTTCGAAACATTGTCATCCAGTAAATAATACGACTGTTTCACTGTGTGTGATACATTTAATAAACAAACTAATATGGAAGTGGTGTTGTTAGCTTCATAGCCATTCTTACCTCTCTACCAGGCTCGCTGCCTGCTAAGCAAGGCTTAGGAGTACGTCAAACGAGGAATCAAACCCCCAAAACACATGAGTAGTTGAGGAACACTTTACCACTAGTCCACAGTGTGGTATATGATAAATATTACTTAAAAATAAATTAAATTCACATTTTTCTTCGCCTGTATTTTAATTATCTCTGAAACAATAATAATAACAGTAATCATACCCGTTCTGTGTCTAATGATTTCTAACATTTTACCCTTTTTTCCCATCCCACCCCCTGATCATCACTCTGTCAACATTCATACTACTACACACACACAGGTGAGTTTCATCGATTACATTGTTCATCCATTATGGGAGACATGGTCCGATCTAGTATATCCAGATGCACAAAATATCCTTGAAACCCTAGAAGACAATCGTGAATGGTATTTCAGTCAAATTAATGAAACCAACAACGGGGATATGAATAATAATGATGGTGATGATGATGATAATAATAATAATACTGAAGATAAAAATAAAACTACTACTACTACTACTGCAGAGAATGAAGAATAAACCCATGAAACAAAAGAGGAGAACCACAAATTATAGCCAAATGTCATACACACATAAACATACCTAGTGAGAATGTGATATACACACACATTCTCTGTATTTGTGTATTTTTCAATCAAAAAGTGTTTCACATGTGTGTGCGTTAATTTGCATTTCAATTGGTTTGATTCGATTTCCAAAAAAAACAATACTACAGTCAAACAGACAGGGATATGCGTTGCATAACTGTGAATTAAATTAACATTTCTCTGGTATTATCATTATTACTACTATTGTTATTACGCATCTAATTCTATCAATAATAATAATAAACTTAAACTACTGTTCAAAGTAATCCCTATGAATTTTGTTTTCTTCATACGTTTTGAAATTGTCCGTCCAATGGTATTCATTTCTCCACCCCACCCCACCCCAGCCCACCATAACTCAACCCCGTCTTCCCCTCCCCCCCCAACCTTGTTCCGCACACACCTGCTGTATGCAATCCTTTTGCTTTTGTCATTTCCTGTGAACAATTAACTGGTTTCATCCGCTCCCCTCTATCTCTCTGTCTGTCTTTATTTCTCAACTTTAAAAAATCAATAATAATATGTATGTATTGCACATCATAGGATGATGCCTACATTTATGTGATTCTTTGATGTGGAGTAAGCATAGAAGACAAACTGTTTGTAAGCTTATTATGTAACTATCGGTCAAGTTAATCTATGCATAGATGTATACATACATACAAATATGTGCTTGCTCAATTTCTGCATTTCTCTTACTCTGAAACACACCCACTCACCCACCCCCGGCCGCGGCAATATGGAGGAATATTGCAATCACATACAGACACAAGGAATCTTCCTCTCTCTCTGCACTTTACCCTTTACAAATAAACAGTTTGATTCTAGAGTCTTCCCATGACAATGATTTTTCTTTTCCTTTCTGGTGCGATTTCTATTACTAGACAGTAGAAAGTGACTCTCTTAAAATCTGATTTTCTTTTCGTCTTCTCCTCTTTCTTGTGATATGTAATATGTTGTATGCATAACATTATTCTTTCTTATTTTCTCAATATTTTCGTTCATATTGCCCAGTAAACACACAAACACACTGTTTTTGACTACTTATAAACATGTGTTTGTAAGTAGCAAGTGAATGAGTGGGTGAGTGAGTGAGTGAATGATCGAATATATATATATATATATATATATATATATATATATATATATATATAACTCTTACGATAAAGCTTGTATAAACTGAAAAAACAGGCGGTTAGTCATATATTGAATATGATCCAGTCGACGACAACGGCAACAACGGTAACAACAACAACCACAAACTCACAACAATTGGATTATGTTGTTTAGTGTTCTACTTCAACCCTTGTCTTAAATAAATTATCAGTTAACCAACCAACTAACTAGCTAGCTAGCTATAGCAGCAGATTATGAAATATTAATCAATCAATCAATTAATTAATCAATCATACAATATTATACAGTGGGTATACAAACACACACACACACACACACTGCACACACGAATACACATACAACGAAAACTGAAATGATCTTCTGCCAATAAAGAAAAAAGGTGTGTGTGTATATCACTGTCTGCTTTGTTTACTCTTCCCCTCGTCACTCTCTTGTTGTTATTGCTGCCGCTGCCGTATTAGTAGTTGTTATTGTTGTTGTTGTTTTTACTGCTGGTGCTGCTGTTGTTCTTGTTGATTTTTTTCTGTATTTACTCGTTTCTTTGTTTGTTTGTTTTTCAACCCCCCCCACCCAAAAAAAACAAATGAACGAACGAATCAATGAAATATACATATATAACGCAGAAATAAGTCATAAATAAAGACAATATTGAATCATATGGAAGCAGTAAAAGTGAAATCTATATATACATATAAATTAGTAAACAATAAGAAAGAGAAAAAAATCAATAACAACAGACTTTTTGTCATCATCTACGTCATCTCTATCCTCATCTACATCATCTCTTACTCCTTCTGCCTCTCCCTCTCTCACTGTTCTTCTCTTTCTATCTTTCCCTCTTTTTATCTCTCCACCCCCTTCCATTTCTATTGTATTTGTTTGTTAATAATAATAATCATTTATTCAAATGATGCTGAAACAGCTGTCCTGAATTTATTGATTTTTTTGTTTTGTTTATTTGTTTTTGTTTCTTCCTCTCATCCTCAACTGCCACCCACCCACTCACCCCACAAAAGAAAACATAATATAACATAACAGAACAAACAAATCAACGTTAAAACTGAATAATTGTACAAATCATATACATATACACAAACATTTATAATATGCAATAAACTACTATTGTTAATTGTAGAAATTCTATATTATCCTATCTCATCCTATCCTATGAGAATTAAAATTAGAAAAAGTCTAATTCCCCAGGTGATGGTAATACACCATTATGACATAGACTGTATAATCGGCTTTCAATACTGCCTAACAGTGAACTAGCTCCAAATCTCAGCAAATCAGGATTCATCCATTCTGATCCAAGAATGCTGTTAATTAATTGAAGATAGTCAAGAGCATCTTTAGCTGTACGTAGACCACCGGCTGGTTTAAATCCGACCTGTATATTTCCGTGAATGTAAAAAATGGAAATATTCAAAAGTAAAATTTGTGTTACTTATAGTTAATAAGTAGTATTATAAATATCCGAGAAATTTATGAGTTAAATCAACGTTTTACGTTCAACTTTGACCTCATGATTTATGACGCTCAAAATTCGTCAGCAAGTATATCTGTCGGTAGGATTCTAAATGCTGCATATTCATAGACAGGAGAATGAACATTTTTAGTGATGACATGTTGTATACTGACAACCTAATGAATTCAAATACATGACGAGTTTGAATGGATTTGTAGCACAATTATTGCAACCAACTATACTGACTGGAATGATGAATGTTCCTACAGGTCTTACCATGTTCTCCAGAAAGGCCGTTTGAACAGCGATTGGATTACATGTAATTATATCGTCATAGTGTAAGTGGTTTACACTATGTTGGGGTTCTGTGGGTGAAGTCATATTGTAACAACAGAAGACAAGGGCCAGGCAACAGATCGTTTTATTACGAAAATCAACACGTATTTATATAAATTTCACATACATTATTATAGTCTAGTCAAGTAGACAAACGCAGCCTTCTGATTGGTTGTTTTCGAGTTCCTCGGAAAGTGGAGCCATCTATCTGCGAATCATGTTTGCTCACGTTTAAGTTTGCTGTGACTGGTTGTTGAAACAGCCTTGTTCATATTTTCTCACGGCCCATATTAGTGCCCTAGACATTGACAATTGGCTAGCATGCTGCTCTCACCACAATATTACTGGTGAATACCGGCGTAATGACAGTAAGATGTTGCCTAGAGATGGCCAGAAAGCCAGCTATGCTACCACTCCTGTTTGGAAACAGGGAGGTTAGAAAAGATCATTACGGAAAACTACAGGTCCAGACTAACCTTGTAGAGATCAGTAACACAACTCAGAAACCACTTGAAAAGGGGTATGTTACCAGTGTGAAGGCCGAAAGGATGAATCAGAGAGGAAAGATACGCCTCCACCAATCTGAAACCAGTTTGGAAATCTTTTGCACTTCATCTCAGCATAAAGAACAAGATTCGGATTTCAACACAAATATGAATTCAGTCAGTCAGTTGTTCTATATGGGTGAGAAACTTGGCGGGCGTGTCACGAAAGGGCTTCCCAACAAGTCACAGTCTTTTATCAACAGCTGCCCACTTCAATGACTCCATACTGAAGACCAAATGGTCAGCCGGCTGGTCAAAAAGAATCAGTAACAATAAACTCTGCTTGGAAACAGACCAACCAAGAGTCGATTCCTGAACAAATATATAGGAGAAAATGGAGATCGGGTATTGATCAGGCATTTGTTAGGGAGGCTGTCAAATGACATCGTGCGCAATGCAGACCATTGCTCGATTGGAATACCAATGGAAAGTGACGAGTAGGTCGTCCGAGGCTGACATGGGGGAGACCGTGTGAGGAGTAGATGAGAGATTATGAACAACTGTGAAACCAGCTGAAGGGGACAGTAAAAAATAGAACCAAGCGGAAATTTGTTGCTGAAGCCCTATGTTCCACTTGGAACCCAAGGAATAATAATAACACCAATCCGAAGTAATATACATTTCAAGAAGCAGTTCGCATTAGGTCAAATGCATGATAGTGATGATTTAGTACTCTACTGTTACTCTGTAGTATCATGAAGCTTTAACTAAAGATTGAAAAACTTCATGCATTACTGATGTATCTACTTACAAGTGTTTTACACTGACTGAGCTCAGACACATTAAACTCGGATGACCACATATTTATGAATAAACTTTAACACTTCATCCATTCGTTCATACCTCATTTGGTGATTGTGTCTCATACGTCATCACGGCGTGTCTGCAACTTGAAAAGAACTGATTTAAAAAAAAACCCCGCCTCACCCACTGTTGCAATCAGAGACTCTGCACCACTGAGGTAGGTACTCGAACTGCAAAACATACTGTATTCTATGTAATAAGTAATTGACAATTCTGCCATCTCTACATTTTTGTGTTAATTTTTTCAAGAATCTAAAATAACACTCAATCAAGACAGCTATTCTGTTTCACCACTTTCGTATCAACTATTATAAGCCTTTATTTCTTCCTGAATTAGATGTCACAGACTTTATCCTATTCTACGGATAAGTATGATTTAAGATAGGTGGCTTTATTGATTCATCGTTGTAATCATTTCTGTTTACAGATAAACCCTCATTTTATAAAATGAAGAGAAGTGAAAACCATCGATTGACAATATTCTTCAGTATATCTTGTGTCAAGTAAGATATTTATAGAAGTCCACTAATCACTGTGTAGATAACTTCCTTAGGAAGATGACTGCTTCTGGTACTGGTCTGACAGTCCTACATAGAAACAATGGAAGCATGACTTAAATCATACGATTTGTAGGAAAAACGCGAAACACACCCTAGTTATAGGTTAGGTCTTAATTTTGATATAGTGAACTGAGTGAGGATATTATATAATAAAGGTTTCCTTGTTTTTCCCAATGAATGAAAAACAAAACGATATTGTTTTATGTACTGATGTTTCCTTATTTAATGCCGCTGATAGCTTTATCAAAGTATTATTAAACCGGAATTTACAAAATCTCAGCATATATATAACAAAGAGGTAAGGGGTGAGAAAATAGACTTAGGTCAAGTTTAAAAGGACATATTGAAAGTCGAAATGACAATGAAGATCAATAAACCAAATAACAAAGGTAATAGTACGTCTGTTATGATATCAAAATAAAGTTTACTAGCTTGATCTTCGTTTGAATAGTGAACTTGCTTATCACATTTGTGTCGATTTTTTCATTATGTAAATATACACTGCTTTTATAATTTTACACACTGATCAGCGTCGATCGAGAGGTGATTTGGGAACTACTTCGCTACTACGGGGTGCCATCGACAATTATACATCTCATCCAACAGTTACACGACAATGCTGTATGCCAAGTAATCCACAACGGGAAACTTACGGAATCCTTCGAAGAAGTGAGGACGGGAGTGAGGCAAGGCTGTCTACTATCACCAATGATCTTCCTGATTGCAGTTGATTAGATAATGCGATAGACAACGGGCAATGAGGAAACAGGCATAAAATGGACTCACACAAAAAGAGACTTGGAGGATCTGGACTTCGCCGATGATATATGTCTGATTTCCCACAAACTGGAAGATATACAAGTGAAAAGCAACAAGCCGGCAGAAGAAGCATCAAAGATAGGACTTCAGGTGAACATAGATAAAACAGAGGTGATGAAGACTCCTGGCCAACAGCAACAACAACAACAACAGACAACAATCAGCCAGCATAAGTGGGAGGAACCTGAAAGAAACAACCTCCTTCATCTACCTACCTGGGAAGCATCGTTTCAGCTAGAGGCGGAACTGACGAGGATATCAAAGCCAGAATCGGAAAAGCAAGGCAAGCTTTCCTTGCTCTTAAGTCTGTGTGGAGGTCAACAGTACTCATCATCAAAAATAAGATCCGGATTTTCAACTTTATGGATCAGAAACTTTGTGCGTCATAAAGAGCATCTCAAACAAACTGCAGACTTTCATTAACAGTTGTCTTCGCTCAATACTCAAGATCAGATGGTCAGAAAAGATCAGCAGCAGGGATCTCTGGCTATGAGCGAACCAACCCAGCAGGAACCGATTATGAAACAAATAGGCAGGAAGAAATGGAGATGGACTGGCCATACGCTGAGGAAACCATCAAGAGACATCACTAGATAAGCCATCGCTCGAGTGGAACCCGAAAGGGAAGGGTAACTTGGAGGAGGTCGTGTGAAGAGGAGAAGAAAGCATGTGGGCAGACCTGCAGCGGGATGAAAAAGTTGGCAGAAAACCGAATGCAATGGAGACGTGCAGCTGAAGCCCTATATTCCTCTAGGAATTAAAGGATATAATAATAATAAAATACTTTGATGAAGCTATTAGCATTAAATAGCGAAACGTCAGTAAAAACAATATCGTTTTGTTTTTCATTCATTGGGAAATACAAAAACCTTTATTATAATAAAATATCATATACCCAACGCCCAAATTTTTTCAAACTGTTAAAAGTGAACTTGGTTCGGACATATATATATAAATGAATGAGGATATTCTTCAGGAAGCACCATGAAAAGAGTAAGTGTGATGAATATCCTCCTCTAGAGAAAGTGAGTTAGTCTCGTTATTATTAAACTTCGATCACTCTGAAAATCAATCGACGAAGTCGTGAAGTTACAAAGACTGAGATGGTTAGGACATGTGTTACGTATGCCAAGCCATCGCCTCCCTCAACGAGCAATGTTAGCAGATATAGGGTCAGGCTGGAAAAAAGCTAGCGGCGGTCAAACAAAAACTTGGCTTCACCAGTCAATTAAATCCACAACAGTTGGTCTAAGCCACGTAGAAAGGTGTAGACTTCCAGGCTGGGGTCCTCGGGACGGTAAAAATCTATGGTTGGAAACAATTGGTGACATGGCTAGCTCAAAATCGTTCTCAGTGGCTAACGCAGATGCATCCACTCCTTGTGACTTATGATCTCCAATGAAACTGTTTTGTTTTTCTTTATTACTCATTTGTCTCACACCTCTGCTCACTGTTTCTATTATGCTTTTCTTGTACTTTCTTCTCTTGCTTCGCGTGCTACACGGAGTGTGGCGACTTGAACTTCCGCACATTTGTGCAAAGTTCTATGTCGAAAACAGACAGACAGACAGAAATGCCTAACATAGGCATGTTAATCTCACGAACGTCTACACTACACATAACTTCATCGTCCAAGAAAAAACAGCATGCCATTTCACCTATACTGCGTCGGTAACACAGTGGTTAGGACTGTCGCCGACCATGCACATGGTCCGGTGTTCAATCCCCTGCAGACGCACTCCTGATATCTATGGCTGGCCTGCGAAATTCAGGCTACCGATATCATATGCTGAAAATTCCATACTTGTACCAAAAATACTGTGTGGTTTCAAGCTATAATCAACATTAAAAATTAAAATTAGTTAATTAGTGAATATATATACCCTGTCTGATAAATAAATACATCAGTGAAATCAATAAGAGAAGTTGAACTTTCATTCGCATATAATAATAATAATAATAAAAACACGACAAGTTCATTCATAATAAAAGTCGATAAATACGTCTACATTCATTTTTGTTTAATGTGAATGAGAGGGTGCTATTTTTCATTCAGTAACATAAACATAACTGTAAAATTTTAATTATGCTAAATGAATTTGGAACGTGCATTTTTTAGATATTTTTTTGTGTGTTAGTGTTTTCTAGGACAATGACAACGATTATGATGATGATGACGGTGACGAAAGGTTTTTGTGACAGAGTGTAAGGTATACGAACATATTACTACTATTGATTCCTTGAGTTCTGAGTGAATTACATCTTTATCCCACTTAAACCTACCTCCACCATCACTTTCAACCGTCTCTATGACTCCTCACCAGCCTTCATTTCCACTTCCGACTTGGGTTCCTCTCGAGGACGGACGTGGTGTGTAATTCTACTCAACAGTATGCTAAATACGTATGTCCAGTGGCAATGGGTGACTCCCTATTTAGTTTACTGAAAATTTCCCTGTTGTTCCTTCTTCCTGGACGACAGGCTAATAATCTTCAGTATCGAGCGAAGGATGACAGTTGTTGATGAAAGTCTGCATTATACTGCTGTTAGGAATGCTTTTGGTGACGCTAACTGACTGACTGGTTCCAGCATCGAACTTTACACAGATGTGCAGCCGCCACACTCCCTCCATGTAGCACACAAAACAAGAGACAGATAATAAACAGAAATACGATTCAACAAGAATAGTAATATGGAAGAACAATTGTACTTTCTTGGATATTATAAACCAAAGGGAATGAATGCATCTGCACTGTGCATTGAGAATGATTTTGACCCATATCACCCGCTGTATCCAGCCACTGGTTTTAACCGTCCCGAGGACCCCAACCACCACCACCAACACCACCCTGCGTGGCTGGCCTAAACTACCTGTTGTGGATTTCATTGACTGATGAAGACATGTTTTGGTTTGACCCCCACTAGCTCTTTTCCAACCTGGTCCACCCTGTGTTAGCTAACATTGCCGTCGGCTGAGGAAGGCGATGGCTAGGAATGCTAACGCAAAATGTCTGAATCACACAGAATTACTGACTTGACATTAGTGTCACATTTCAACGGTAAATAATTTCTTGAGTTTACAGCTCGATTTATCATTCAGATGTGGATACGCTGACACTCTCACTTTTCATCAGTTCGACTGGTAAAGCTGAAAAAGGTACACAGTCAAAAACCCACACTATTTGGTATGCTTTTGTGTTACTTTTACCCAGCTTCGAATGCATCCCACCAGCCTAATAACATCGATCCTGAAATATATTTCGAATTCTGGACGATTCAATTATTGTTCTGATTTTCGACTTAATAACTGTTTGTCAGTTAGCATCAAATAAGTACATCTCGGCTGAAGGATAGCCCATACGTTTACCCCCCCCCCTCGTTAACCCTATAAATGCATGATGCATAACATTTGGCTGTTATTCTGAGGGCTACATTATACCTGAATTAGATAGAGAATAATCAACTCGATGTGTAATTAAATTAGAATTGTAGAAAGTCGAGACAAGTGATTCAGCGAAGAGTCTGATTTCACCTGAGGGACTCTTCACTGAATTTAAGAGTAGCAGAGATTTCTCGACAGTAAGGTAACCTAATCAGTCCCTTTGTTATTCTGCCAAGCTCGCTGTTGTGAATGCGGAGATTCATCATCTTGATGAATGAATAAGAAGGCATGAATGTCCCAAGTGGTTTTGGAAATCGCCTCGGCGTAATCAATATATCCTAGCGAAAGGTCTTTCAAGAGACGCACACTGGCCCTGGTCGTTCACGTAAATCTGAATTAGACAGCCTTCCGCCCCCCCCCCGCCCCCCGTCTGATGACAATTCTGTGTCTAGGTAGAAATTCTTCACGTAACGAAATGACATTTATGGAGTTGTGGAGTTATCTGTTTGCATAAGCCACAGTGGAACGAGATTCAAACTCAGTATCCTAAGATTAAAAGTCAAGTAATTGGCTCCATTAACTATACTGTCTTAATGGAACTTCTCCGTAGAGAACTGTACAGTCTAAACTACTATGCATTTGACTATTATAAAACAGCTTAAGAACACCTACATTGTGACAGAAGACTACTATTACCTGTAGTTACTCTACCAGGGGGTTGGGATATGCTAATTAAGAATGCGCAGAACAAAAAAGAAATTGGTTCTCGATTAGTCAATACACCCTATAGGGGCTCATATCTTTTTCAGTTATGAATGATGTAACACCACAATGAAAGTATTACCAATCAAACACTGGTGACTAGGACAATCTACAATTTTCGAACCACAAACTAATACATTAAAACAGATATAGGGAATTTCATTAAGCATAAAAAGACATGTACACATGACTTACCTTAACATTGTACACATCTTTAAAGTCTAGAATTGCTCGCGCCATAACCAATGAGACTGGAAGAGTTGCGTTGACTGTTTCTTTCCCAGTAGATGTTTTAATAAAATCAGCACCAGCTAGCATACAAGCCATTGAAGCTTTATAGACATTATCATAACTGCCTAATTCACCTGTAGCAAGAATTGTTTTCAAGTGGGCTCTATCTCCACATGCTTTACGCATTGCACAAACTTCATCGTAAACGCCTAAAATATTTTTTAAAAAAACATGAAATATAATACTTACTGTAAAAGAAATTTTATTAAAACAAAAGCACATCACTGAGATGACCAGTATGACATATATGTTTTATACGATTAGGGATATTTATTTTGGTATGATAGGGTGAACAATATTGAGGTTAGGCGTCGCGTGCTAGGCAAGAGGGGAAATCAATCGATGAGGCTGTCAAGATACATCAAATGAGATGGTTAGGATATGTGTTACGACTGCCTATCCATCTCCTTCCTCGACCGATGGCAATGTTAGCTAACACAGGGTGGATCAGGTTGGAAAAGAGCTAGTGGGGGTCAAACCAAAACATGTCTTCATCAGTCAATGAAATCCACAACAGGTAGTTTAGGCCAGCCACGCAGGGTGGTGTTGGTGGTGGTGGTTGGGGTCTTCGGGACGGTTAAAACCAGTGGCTGGATACAATGGGTGATATGGCTCAAAATCGTTCTCAGTGGCTGGCGCAGATGCATCCACTCCTTGTGACGTATAATACCCAATAAATCTATATTGTTCTTCGATATTACTATTCTTCTTGCCTTATGTCTCTGTTTACCGTCTCTATTTTTAATTTCTTTTTAGTTTCTTCTCTTGCTTTGTGTGCTACATGGAGGGAGGGTGGCAACTCGAACTACTGCATATCGGTGCAAATTTCTATGTTGAAACCAGTCAGTCATTTTGTTTACAATAAGTGCTAAGATTGTGGAAAGCAGCTATGTACATAGTTCGATGGTAACGTCTCTGAATGAAGTACTGTTTAACGCAGTTCAAATCTCAGAGGAGATATCAGTCCCCTAAAGTTTGTGTATATGCCTTGCTGACGAGTGTAAACAATTGCAAAGCCAAGGTTGACAGCTTCGTGGTGAATGCCTTCAATCACCTAGCCTCCATACCTAACTTAAACACAACTTATTTCAAAATCAATTGTTAGTAAAATGAATAGAATAACAAGAATAATTACAGTGTACAGTCAATTATAAAACGGATACACATGCTGACGATATATTTTATTCGCATGGTTAAGAAGTATCTTAAGGCAATTATCTATTTTTCCCTTCGTTAGTGGTAGCCAACAGTGAAATCCAAGAAACGCGTTTCGCTCTATTTGAGATCCATCAATTGGATGCACCTGCATTTCCAGTGAGTGCTGATTTTCCCAATCGAAGCCATCACACACTGTTTTGAACACAGTGTTACCTATTAGGCCACTAGACCACCTTTTATGTAACGGGTATCACCTGTGTTATTTGGTTGAAGCTATTTTAAATTCTCTATTGGACCCAAAATGCAGTGTCTCTCCTAGTCCAGATGGTAGATTGTTCACAGCAATATTTGTTACCCACTTATTGAACCAACCTCAGAGCTACATTAAATACAAACATGTTAATTAGTTTTAAATCAAAACAACTCTTACAAACTTAGACAAAACTTGTACCTAATCGCTTAAACTGGAATTTACTTTCATCATATACCTTCATCAGTAATAAAGTCTAGCCCTAACCACTTTTTAACTGAAAGGCGACAAACAAACCAAAAACTTATCGCGCAACAAGTCCGTTGAGTGACATCACTAACCAGGCCCTACAGTGTAGGCCGAAACGGGAACGACTAGTTGGGCGTCCGAGAGTGACATGTAAACTCAAACATTTTGGATTAGACCAACGCTTATGTGAGTGGTTTAGTGACTACCTGATGAACAGGAGGCAGAAGGTAAGGGTTAATGGTGTACTGTCAGGGTGGAAAGCAGTACTAAGTGTAGTACCTCAGGGAACTGTACTTGGCCCCCTGCTATTCCTATTATACGTAAATGAAGTGCCGAAATTTCTAACCTCATCTTCCCTACTATTTGCGGAAGATATTAAGACATGGAAAACCCCAAATAGTAGCAATGATAAATTGGTACAACAAAACGATCTAGACAAATTAGCCGAGTAGGCTAACCTTTGGAGTCTGGAAATTAATTCCAATAAAAGTGCGGTAATGCACCTAGGTCAGAAGTCTTACACGTCGTACTTCATAGGGGACACAGAACTGCCAGATGTTAGAGAACAAAAGGACTTAGGAATTATTGTAAGCTAAGAGTTAAAAACAACGGCTAACTGTAATCGAGCCACAGCTAAGGCGTTTCGAATACTATGGGCACTTCGAAGGGCTTTCAAACGATTGGACGAGGGCATGTTCCAAGTACTCTATGCAACATATGTCAGGCCTCATCTAGAGTACTGCATACAAGCGGCGAGTCCATGTTTCAAAAAGGAGGTACCTACCCTGGAAAGAGTACAGAGGGTAGGAACGAAATTAGTTAGTGGTATCTCGCACCTTTCTTATGATATGAGGATGTAGCATTTAAATCTCTTCCCATTATCATACCAAAGGAGGAGAGGCGACCTAATTTTGGCTTACGGAATACTCAAGGGTGATTTAGGAATTGACCTTTCTAAACTTTTCTCTCCCTCTAGGATACATTTACGGGGTCATCAGAAGAAGGTGTTAAAACTAAGGTCGAATAAAATACCTTCGGAGTTTAGATTCTCTCACAGAGTTGTCAACGACTGGAACTCCTTACCTGATTCATTAGTAACAGCTCCACCGGTGAACGCTTTCAAAGAGAAACTGGATCTCTGCAGAGATACATATCGCGAGGATTAACGTAGGCAACAAGAGCATCCTTCCTTATTATCTGAATATGAATCTGAATGGAGGGGACCGTGTGAGAAGAAAATGAAAGCTAACGGTAAATTGTCAAACAAGACAGAAAATAATGCAGATATCAGGATGAAGTGTAGATGTGCTGCTGAAGCCTCATATCCCAACTGGAGCTCAAGTAAATGATGATAATAATAACAGTAGTAATAGCAAGCGGAGACTGATAAAATTCAGTCTTCTTTACACAATGACTGGTGGCGAATTGATTCAAATGATCACGCATACCAAGGGTTCATTTGACCTTCTCTGGTTAGTGAGTAGAGAAAATTATAAGCATCCACTTAACAATGTGTTTGCGCTTTGTAATAGAAAAGCCGGGGTTTGTCAAACATAAAGCTGACCATTTAACTTAAAAAGTAAGAGGGACAAAGTCATAAAAAGTAGTTGTTTTGTGTAGACATTTCAACGCAATAACTCAAAATCGACTATAAACTGAAGGATAGAATCTGACTGGCAGTAATAGTCACTGGTCACTGCAAGATCATACCTTTTCAAATATCTAGGAACATTTATGATACAATGTCTCGTGATTTCAACAAGAAACTACCTCGTGTCGAACATACTTCTTCACCGTTCCATTTCCGTTAGAAACATTTCAAATTAGGAATTTGTATCCAACTTTAAAAAAGCATCTTTTAATGCAGAATAAATTCCATATAATCTTGGTTATAAAAATTTCGGAGAACAGTAATGATAAACTGGTAATACATACCTTGCCAATCACCTTGTACCGCTAACGACCGATTGATTACTATATCAATTTCATTTGCTCCATCATTAATAGCTGATTTGATTTCCATCAAACGTGTATCTAAAGGATACTGTCCTGAAGGAAAGCCAGTGGCAACTGATCAACAGTTAAACAGAATGTCAGTAAAATCATCCTACCTGAGGCAATGTTGAAGTTCGGCAATTTTAATCTCTTGAAAGTCTCTGTACATGTTTTAACTTGATATGGATAAACGCATACAGCAGCTGTCTCTGTAAATTATTAGTTGGGGAAGAAAGAACAAAGTGGTTTATTACTTAAGTCCTGTAAATCCAAGTCGTACATAGTTTCAATCTTCTTTAAGACACATTCACTCAGCGGATGAGCAGCTTTTACACAAAGTCTATAAACATTAACAGGTGTATCGTCACCAGCTAATGTCGTTAAATCGATAAGACAAATTGCTTTCAACAACCATTCAACCTAAAGCAAAAGTATATGCCTCGAATTAGCGGAAGCTAGCCTATAATACTTACTTCAATATTTGCTGGTAGTTTTATATTTGTCAGCTCTTTAGCTAACTGTATTACATTTGAAGCTTCTACGCGATCATAGGTGAGCATAGAGGGATCTGGTATATTTGTTTTTAGAAACATTTATAATTCTTTTATAAGATTACCATATGGCTGAATTTTTCTGACATCCATTACTGATTCTACATTGAAAAAAGAGAGAGAGAGACAGATAAATATTAAGGACTACTGAGAAAACGGATGTACACTTCAGATAATCAGCAGAAACTTAAGATCCTGTGATAAGAATAAAATGTGACAGGTATTATTAAAATGGTTAAATCCTAAGGGATATATTCTGGTAAACACGTGCAAATAAAGACTAACCATATGGCTGTAAGCTTAAGGTGGATGAAATAGTTGGGCGTGTCATAAATTACAGTGGACATGTATTTAAATACTGAAGATGACGATAAGACTTGGGGGTGGGGTAACTGTGAATGTTGTGTTTTACTTACATACACCTTGAAGTATTTATTTGTTACCGCGACAGAGTAGACAGAAATTTTGAATCGTTTGAAATGAGTAATTATCAGAGTAAATTTACATGAGAATTTGCTTAATCTGGTATTCTTAGACGTTTAATTTGTCCCGCGTGTAAGGTTGACAGGCACAAATTGCCGAACTATCTCGGTTAGTAATAATAACATACAGAAGAGTACATAAGGTGAAATGTTGAAAGTGCGAAATGATCGTATACGATTATAACTTCCACGTTATGCAATTTTAAATTTTTCAGGACTTAAAGATAATTCTCAAAAAAACCACAAACGCTGGAGACTGGGGAAAACAGCAATCTTTATAGTGTTTTCCTAAATTTGCATTAATTTGACCAAAAAACGTTGATGGAATGGACTTCCTCGTGAAGAGAACTCTTGGAAAAGAACACTTTTCCAAACGGTTACCAACCTCCCATCATCTATCCCCTTGTTTACTAGATTTACCTTGTAATATGTGTGCTCAATTGAGCACGACTTTAGAGAGGGTAAGCTGTGCAACAAACTCCATTCATGCTCGTGAAATCTTAAACAATACAGAAACCATTTTTGGAGTGAAAAAACGCGGAAAATGCTGACTAACTTTGTTGTGTAGATTACTGTTGTTGGATCCTCAGGGTTGACACGACAAGATGGTATAATAGACAAAGTAACCGGCTGAAAAGGTGAGCTCATACGTCCTTGAACAGCATCCTAGTCAACAAACATGAAATATCCAATATTCAGATTTCATATTTACTGAATGAGAATAGAAGGCTTGGAGACTATGATAATCCTTTCCTAACAAATTTCCGTGCCTGTCCAAACCTTTCTTCATTGAATCAGTGGGGGTTGCAGACACTACTTCTTTTATTAGTTGGTTCCAGGAGTTTATAACTCAGTGTGAGAACCAGTACTCCACAGCAATATAGTTTCTCCTCGGCTTTTGAAGTCTCCTGTTATGCCCTCTTAGGTTTTCTAACCTGGTCGGAAGGAAAAGAAGGAATAGATCAAGTCCGTAGTCATTATTTAAAATTTTAAACACTGTAATTAAATCTCCTCTCTGCCTACGGTATGATAGGGAGAAGAGATTTAAGCGGTCTAATCTTTCCTCGTATTATAAATTAGCCATGCCGAGAATCACCCGTGTTACCATCCTTTGAACCCTCCTTTAAGACAAGGACTGGCTACCTAGATAAAGTTTTCTAGTCTTGACCCCACCAGAGATGAATGTACGGGGATGAACATGTCTCTGGTGATTCTAGTAAAGACTCTGGGAACTGCCCATAAGGGTCTGAAACTACGTGCAGCCACCACGCTACAGCATGCTGTATTTTTCAAGTCGTAACTTAATATGACGCCTAAATCCATGTAAGTCTGCGCTGACGGGAGTGTTATTCCCTCTAGTTTTTAGGAGCTAGACTCTTGCGTGTCCAGTGCGCACGGTTGCACATTTTGCTACAATGATCGGGCGGATCCATTTTCTGGACAAATCTAACAATTTGTTGTGGTATTCTTGCGGCGTGAGCGTATCGCTGTCCCCTTCAGCTCTCTTCAGACTTTAAAGTCATATGAGTATAGGACTATTTGGTAATCCGTGAGCTCAGATAACCAATTGGTATACAAAATAAATAGGAGACGTCCGAGTCCCGTACTTTGTGGCACTCTGCTGCACAATGTTTCCAGGAGGGGAGTTTCGAGTTGCTCCTCACCCTCTGTCTCCTATCTATAAGGAATTCTCTAATCCAGTTTAGTAAGCTACCTCTGATGCCAAGGCTTTCCAACTTGGTGAGTAGTCTTTTGTGAGGATTTTTATCGAAAGTGTTTCTGGAGCCTGTGGAGACAAAGTCAATCAGTCTTCTGTTGTCCCTCGATTTGACCCAGCTATCCTTTGGAGTGAGAAGATCTGACACTCACGAGAGGTTACCCTGGAAGCCATGCTGCTCTCTGGATAACAAGTTGTAGTTTTCAGATATTCCATGATAGTCTTCTTGGTGGTTCTCTGCAGTATATTGATTAAGCGGATGGCGAAACTAATAGACTTGTAGATTGGAAGGCTTTGTCTGATCTTCCTTTGTGGAAGGGGGTCACTACGGCGTCCTCCCAGTCACTTGGTAAAACTTCATTTAGGAAAGATCACTTTAAGATAGTAATAATAATAATAATTTATTTTCATATAAACATAAATTTACATGAAAATGCATGCCATTTTTACAGGCACGATCAAGGATGATATAATGTCAAATCTTAAATTGTCTACAAGTTAATAATGTTTCAACAGTTAAATATTTGATATATATATATAAATACACATTGTCTGAACCAGGCCGTATAGTTATTGAATTGTACAGTTGTCCTCCAGGTTGAGCGGGAAAATCGACTTCGTTTCGTTTTCATCCCGTGGTTGTAGGCATACGATAACCAACCAATATTGAGGTAAGTACAACGTTTACAAGGAATTGGAAGCTGTTTTAGAAAAATTAAAGTGCTGAGGTGAAACATTAAAGTGTAATAGATTAAGTGAGTGAAATATATCATTAATAAACACATTTATATAGAAAACAGAATGGGGAAGTAATTAATCCTTAGGCCGACAACGTTCATTTGCAATGTATAATGAAACCAATATATTTTATACTATCATGATGTCCACTTTTGGCTTTAATACAATTATTTTCAAGCCAGTTGTTTTTATTTCATGTCTTTTTTTCTATTTGGTGCACAACCGTACCCTCCAGAGAATAGGAATAGAATAAGTCGAATCAAATTCATAAAGAGCTATAAAATGTTAGGTTTAATGGAATATAATGAGAATCAAGTAAAGACGTTATTAGAAAATAAGTGAGACAAGATATTGTGAAGTGGTATTTAAAGATCTGACAATGGATAGCAAGTTAATTTATAAGATGCCCCATAAATCTGTGCAGATCCCACGTGGTCGCATCTCAACAATAGGCTGAGCGAATGGTATATATTTAAAGGTAGAAGCATTATCTGTCAAGGCGTTCACTATTATCTTTTTCAAGATAAAGATCTAAGCCCTCATAAAAATCAGAAATATCTCGAGCCTTTAATTTGTATATTGCTGTTCCTGCAGAATGGGGCGATTCACCTTAGTGACCACCACCATATCTACTGATCAGCTAGCGCCACCCTCCCTCCTTTTTTGATGTTAGGCTCTGAGACTATGATTATTATGGCTACCGCAAATATATTGCTTGGTACCAGACATGTTCGTACCCCATATTCCATCTCCCTAGCTTTCTTAATGAGTGCTTCCAATAGGTCTCCACGTACATCTTTACGAACATATTATATATGTGTGCATGCATCCTGATGAACAGATTACTTTATAAGAAGTTAAAACCTTAAAGAGTAAAACGAATAGGTATTGTGAATAGTGGAGCAAGATTTAGCAGAATACTATAGTTAAGGTTCAATTTAGGTAGTATGGACTGAAGGTAAGGTCGGTTGGCAGGACTTAGTGTACTAAATTTTCATGACAGTCTTATATATAGTAAACATCTGACATTGCAAAGTAACGTGTCTAGACATATTATAAAAAGATATTAACACAGAACCAACGAAATTTTGGCTTTTTTAACAATACTGCAGTGTGTGTATACTGAAGAATGGTGGTTAGTCTACAGGGAGCCGTAGAGTAAATCAAACCATATATGATAAGAGTATAATCAATAATATAGTTCGTATATCAAATATTACACTAGGTTCAATAATTGAGTGTTATAAGGGAAACAAGCGTGGTAAAGCAAGAGAACATTTGATGCATAAATATTTTAAGTATTTTAATATCCATCTAATTTAAGAGTTGAACATGCATGATTAATAAGTATTATTATATTAGTATATACATATGTAAAACGTTAAAAGGTGTGGATGCTATTACAATTATTTCCAGTGTTACTTTTACCAACACAACTTAGTGAAAATTATAGAGAATAGAAATCAGTAAATTAGTTAACGTTCGCTGCGTGAGTATTAGAGTCGAGATATACGTATGTGACTATACTGAAGACTGGACTGGCCTTCAATTTCCGTTCTACCAACAGTTGTGGTCTTTTAGACGAGCTAGGGTGGACATGTTAAAGTGTCTTTCTAGGCTCCGTTTGAACCCATCAGGGTTTTCACAACATCTTATTTCAGGTGGTAGTTGGTTCCAAAGAGTGCAATATTTTATGGTGAAAAAGTTTGCCCTAATGGATTTTCTGTGGGTAGCCACCTTGACAAGGTAGTCGTGGTTTCGCAGCTGATATGATTTAATATTTTCCCAAGTTATGGATGAGTTACTGTAGCAGTGTTTCCTAATGACTTTGAAGAGTAGAAATAGGTTGCACTTCACTCTCCTTAACCACAGAGGCTCTAATTTCAGACGTACACACCTGTCAACATATTCCACTTGTTGGTCGAACCCTATTATGCGTTTCGTGAGGAATCTCTGGACACTTTCGATTTTTTTTCTGTCTACAGTCCTGAGGTTACTAAATAGGAGAGCACAATATTCAAGTTTGGGACGGATACATGTCCTATATATAGCTAATCTTGCTTCTTGGGTGTAGAAGTTACGCAGTACAAAGCCAGTAAGTCGTTTACAGTCAGATACAACCTTATTTGCATGATCGGAAAAGGATAAATCTGAGTATGTTATCCCGAGGTCTGTGACTGTGTTCAGTTTTGAGAGGAGCTTACCGTACATATATAGGCACATTATCGGTTTCCAGCGTCCAAGGTGGGTTATACCGCACTTGTCTGGGTTGAAAGTCAGTTGCCACTTTTCGCTCCAATCGCCTAGATCATTTAAGTCTTGTTGGATCTTGCTTTCGACGCTCATATCACCGTACCCATAATCATATACTATCTTGAGATCATCTGCAAAAAGGTATGGCTTGCCATACTTGATTACAGAGACTATGTCATTTATAAATAAGAGGAATAGAATAGGGCCAAGAACACTACCTTGTATTACACCACTGGTTATCGGCTTTGAGGAAGACAACTGGTGGTTGATTTTGACTAATTGCTCTCTTTCTGTGAGAAAAGAACTTATCCATTTGTGAAGATTTCCGGTTATTCCGTAGGATTGGAGTTTTGTTAGGAGTCTGATATGTGGGACTTTATCGAAGGCCTTGCTAACGTCAAGAAACAATGTTGTTACCGAACGCCCATTATCAATGCTTTGTGTGATGTAGTCAAAATAATCTAAGTGGCAAGTAATGCACGACCTTCTACTTAAGAAACCGTATTGGGATGGGGATAGTAGGTCATTTGACAGCAAGTACTGAATGATTTGAGTCTTAACTATCTTTTCCATTACACGTGAAACTACAGACGTGATGTTGATGGGGCGGTAGTTGTTGATATCAGCTATAGGCCCGTATTTATGGATAGGTACAATATAAGACTTCTTCCAGCAGTTAGGGTATGTCCCATCGCTTAATGAAATTGAGTATAACTTGAGTAAGAGTAAACTCATGTCATTACCACCTTTTTTCAGCAGAACGGAAGATATACCGTCTGGGCCAGTAGTGTTACTAAGCTTAAGATTTGCGACAGCTTTATCGATCTCATGTGTGGTGAAAATTATGTCACTTAAACATTCGTCTGTTTTACGTGGGAAATCCACGACTTCATCGTTCTCTAAGGTGTATAATCTGGCGAAGTGCTTGCTAAACAGTTCACATATCGCCTC